TTCCTTTAGAATTTGTTGGAATAATTCAGAGTTCATTGTTCTATTAATGATGGCAAGCCATCCTGGCCCAGATGCAGCAAAACAGGCCCAAACCATGATACTACCACCACCATGTTTCACAGATGGGATAAGCTATTTATGCTGGAATGCAGTTTTCCTTTCTCCAAACATAAATCTTCTCATTTAAACTCAAGAGCCCTATTTTGGTCTCATCCATCCACAAAACATTTTGTGATCTTTAGCAACTGCAGATGTGCAGTAAAGTTCTTTTTGGAGAGTAGCAGCTTTCTCCTTGCAATGCTGCCATGCACACCATTGTTGTTCAGTGCTCTCTTGATGATGGACTCATGAACATTAACATTAGCCACTGTGAGACAGGCCTTTAGTTGCTTAGAAGTTACCCTGGGCTTCTTTGTGACCTTGATGAGATGGTTTTGTAACCTTTTCCAGCCTGATGAGCATCAACAACTCTTCTTCTGAGGTCCTCAGAAATCTCCTTTGCTCATGCCATGATACACTTCCACAAACATGTGTTGTGAAGATCAGAGTGTGATATGTTCTTTAAATAAAATTTCAGTTGAAATGAAATAGGTCTATGTTTACTTCTAACAATGCCATTACATCCTTGAAAAAGTCATCTCACTACCTATTACAAAGTATCTCACTATATTGGCAGATAATGTTGTTTCAAGTCTTATTTCTTAAAGCAAGCAAAAGTATTTGCCAATATAATTATTTAATTTCACCCACAGACATGCACGTATATTTTGAGGAGGTATTGCTTGAAACTGATAACGGTGCAGCCTTTCACTTCTCACTGTAAAAAAGGAATAAAACCACTGAGCACTTTAGTGTAACCAGCTGAATTTTCATGGACGTAATGCTAACAGTGGCTTGACTCAATGTTAGTGCCCTACAGAAATATTTGCTCATTGCATGCAGTAAAGATATGAGATCATCAGTACTTCATACTTCATTTGTGTTTTATGTGTACGTGATTTACACACAATTGTAATGATATTTCATATTTTTGTACAACATGTTTTCATGTATAGCTCTGCTTATGTAGCCATTGCTTAATTTGAGACACATCTGCTGATTGTGTTGAGATGTTCTGCGTCACATACTTTTACAATATCATATTATCATATTAAAATGTTACAATATCATACATTTTTTCATCATCCTATTCGAATAACCGATTCAGTAAATAAATATTAAGGTAGGTCAAGTTCACCTTGTGGGACAGGGGGTCTCAGGGTAATATCTTGCCTAGGGCCTCCTGTGGTCTAGAGCTGGAGCTGATCATTAAGGGCCATGTAAATGATATCACCCAAATTAGTCTTGATATTTGAATGTGAAGCATAGCTGTTGGTCTTGCCAGACGTTCAGGGTTTTTTGTTATAAAAACGGAACTTTGAGGTTTCTGGTTTCATAGCAAATGTCAACTTGGTGTTGAAGAAAAAATTCGCAGTGGAAAAAGTGTGACTAGTGTGTGTGGTCCTATAGTAAATAACACAGTGACAGTAATAATGAGAGCAGAGGGAGACTGGAGCAGCGGGTACAAAGAAGTGTCCTTACAGTGAAAACTTTAACCTCCAACTTCCACACCAGGGCGCTTTTCAGTCAGTACATGCAGCTGCAAACAACCCACTGTCTGTTCTTCTGTTCACTCAGAGAACAAAGCTCTTCTGACTAATGGGGGGTGGGGGATCAGGGAGGGAGAGGGGGGGAGGGTGTCTTACCCAGCACAAAACGATACTGATCTGAAAAAGATGCATGTATATCTGTGTTTTCATACATTTTATGGGCAAAAAATGTTCAGACATTGTTAATCTACAGAACCGACAACTCTAACCATGCATACTGTGTCCAAAAGTATCCAGACACACCTTCCTTTTGAACTCAGTTATTTTGAAGAGAACCCATTGATGACACACGTGTTCAATTGAGCACATACAGCTTGTATAATCTCCATAGAAAGGTGTTGATCAATAGAACACTCTGGAGCAGCTGCACAGGTCACCATGCCCAGTGCCAAGTTTCGATATGGAGTGTAGCCTACATCCAGTACCACTGGGATGAGTTGGAGTGATGTTTTTAATATATACCTGACCTCACAAATGCTCTTGTGGCTTATATAAATATCTATTATGTTAAAGATGTTAACGTCTACAGAGAACAAACTCATGTACATTTTAACTCATTTTAACGCACAAGTACCAGTTATTCGCTGAATGTAATAACTTGGGAAAAAAATACATAAATTGGCCTGTGCAAAAGTTATGGCACGTTTTCTATTGTGTATTTTTCATTTTCCGCTAATAAATAGAAATTCATCAAAAATTTGCAGATAAATGCTATATTTATGTTTGTTCTTAACTTATTTTTCTTTTAAAAAAATCAACAAAACATGTAATTATATATATATATATATATATATATATATATATATATATATAATTATATATATATATATATATATATATATATATATATATATATATATATATATATAATTATATATATATATATATATATATTATGCCTATAACATACAGGTTATATTTACTACATATGGAAGATATGTATGACCAAGTGGGTCTTTGTGTGCGTTTGTGAGAAAGAGAGAGAGAGAGAGAGAGAGAGAGAGAGAGAGAGAGAGAGAGAGAGAGAGAGAGAGAAAGAGTGTGCATCTCAGCTGTATAGACAGTGGAAAGGAGGGGTGGTTATAAATGACAAAGTGCTGTATATCTGTCTAACAGTTTGACTTTTTGCCTTGGGAATAACCAGACAATGATGGAAAATAAGGGTGACCTCAGCAGATCCACATTTAGCTCAAGCACTGCAGCCTGAAATTTGTTTAGTGTGACACAAGTCACAAGAACAGCTCGTCAGCTTTTTTTTCATTCCTGGAAATCCGTCACACTCAGATTTACAAAGATAACACCTCATGCATGACAGACAGACGCTGAAAACAGAAAACACGTACACACACTCACATGTTGGCCAGCGATTTAAAAAAGGTCATTACAGTCCAGAGCTCCGGGGTTTGTTCTGCTTGTGAATTTTTCTGGCGCTGTAGGCATGTGCCCTGCAGACCTGGAGACATGAAAGCCAAGAAGAAAAACAAATCAGATCTCTGTCTCTCTGCTCTAAACCAGACCAGGTGGGCCAAGAATGCAGAAATCCACACTGTCCAAAATCACCTCTTCAAAAACATCATCGGTTTCACTCCATATCAGAGGAATGAACAGTGTTTGCACAGCTCAGAATCTGTTACTGAAAATGTGAATTTAAATCACCAATTAGACTATTTGCGTCTTTCCCAGGTTAAACTTTATTATGGTGTTTATTACTATTTATCCACACAAAAAGTGTTCAAAAACCTTAGAAAGTGTTTACAATGACATTTTTTGACAAAAAAAAAACAAACAAGGAACTATTTCTTTTTCTTTGTTTCTCTACCACAATACTTGTCATAGTTTCTCTTTGCATTGGTATATTGGTTTCTATTTTTGTATTAAAGTATAGATGCCCTGTAAGGCTGGATAGTAGCAGTAATTCTGCACATTCTATAGTTTCTGTTATACAGTCTCTGTTCTAGTTTCTTACAATAATGATGCATAATGTGTTGTTTTGCCCTCTGACACTTTTCTAGAACACTGGAGTGATCAATAAAGTTGCTCTCACTGCATGTAAAGTACATGTGTATAAAACATTACATACATAAATGAGTAAAGGAATGTGTTTTGAAACTATTCCTCTCAGATTTCAGTCACAGTAAATAAACTACAAACCCATTTCCAAAAAAGTTGGGACGTAAAGACGGGGAGGGGTTCACCGCACACTGTAATTAACTGCACGATGAAATAGTGCTTTTCATCATCTATGGTACATATTAACATTAAAGGATTCAGGCAATCCAGAGAAATCTCTGTATGCAAGGGACAAGGCCAAAAAACATTATTTGCTGGCCATGATCTTTGGGCCCTCAGGCAGCACTGCATTAAAAACAGACATGATTCTGTAGTGGAAATCACTGCATGGGCTCAGAAAAACCTCTGAAAAACACTGTCTATGAAAACAATTCGGCACTGCATCCACAAATGCTAATTAAAACTCTTAAACACAAAGAAGAAACTGTACATGAACTGGATCCAGGAATGCTGCCACCTTCTCTGGGCCCATGCTCATTTAAAATGGACTGAGTGGAGGTGGAAAAGTGTTCTGTGGTCCGACAAATCAACATTTGAATTTGTTTTTGGAAATCATGGACACTGTGTCCTCTGGGCTAAAGACCACTCAGCTTGTTATCAGTGCACAGTTCAAAAGCCAGTATTCATGATGGTATAGGGGTGCATTAGTGCACATGGTACGGGTGATGTGCACATCTGTGAAGGCACCATTAATGCTGAACGATATATACATGTTTTGGCAACACATGCTGCCATCTAGATGACGTCTTTGTCAGGGAAAGCCTTGCTTATGTCAGCAAGAGAATGTCAAACCACATTCTGCATGTATTACAACAGCATAGCTCTGTACTAAAAGAGTCCAGGTGCTCAACTGGCCTGACTGCAGTCCAGAACTGTCACCACTGAAAACATTTGGCACATTATAAAATGAAAAATATGACGAAGAAAAGCCTGAACTGTTGAGCAGCTGAAGTCCTATGTTAAGCAAAAATGGAAAAACATTTCACTTTCAAAACTACAGCAGTGTCTCCTCAGTTCCCAAACACTTAAAAGTTAAAAGAAGAGGTGATGAAACACAGTGGTAAACATGCCCCCCTCCTTACTTTTTTGGAATGTGTTGTTGGCATTAAATTCAAAATGGGCATATATTTTTCAAAAAACAATTAAATTTCTCAGTTTCAACATTTGATATGTTGTCTTTTTACTATTTTCAATGAAATCTAGAATTTAAATGATTTGCACATCACTGAATTTTATTTTTTCTTTTTTTTGTACAGCGTCCCAACTTTTTTGGAAATGGGGTTGTATAAACAGACTACTGATTGCAGTAAATAAACTCTAACATTTTGCAGTTCTGTTGATAATGTTCTATAACTCATAAATTTAAAGCAGGGAAACACAGGACATAGTCGACACTGAACTCCAGATAAACTAAGCTTATATATGAAATGTAAAAAGTGGAGTGCATAAAATCATATAAATCTAAACTAGAATTTAAAAGTTTGGATTCACTTACCATGTAAACATTTGTTTTACTATTTTATGTACAATTAAACATAATGAGGACGTAAATATTGCAACAGGTATGTTTTACTTATTTTGTTCAATATTTTGAGAATTCTGTCAATAAGAAGTGAATAAAATGATGACTCATGTAATCTAATTATGTGTTTATATTCATTTTTAAGTCATGTTGTCTGCTTTGAGAGTTGATCACCACTTTTGAATGATGTATTCATTTAATACTTCTAATATTAACCCCTTAAAATCCCAGGCTTATTACATACTAAGGCTTATTATTATTTAGTAAATACAAGGACTTCAATGCAAACTGGTTCTAAAAGTGTGGTACGTTATAGGAGAGTTTAATAAAACCTTGGCCGTTTAAGGGATTTAATTATTTTATTAATGTACCTTATTCCTCAATGTTCCACAGCTTTCTCAGTCATTTTACAGTCTATAGCTCTGTTTGTCAATCTGGACAGCATTTTGTCATTTTTATTTACAGTTTCCTAGAGTCCTACTGACTATTTGAAACCTGGGAAGTACAGGACACGCATATTACAATCATTTTATATATGTACGTACAACTAAACTCTTTTATAGTACATAACTATATGTATATAAGTATAAAACTATAAAAGATATATAGAGGATATAAAGTAATTCCAAACTTTTGAACAATGATTCAAAACTTAAATGGTAGTGCATCGAATAACACTTTCTTTTTACTGTCCCTTCTATGTATTAACCAGGTAATTTTGAGGTACAAATTATGAAGTACTAGGTAATTATTTTGAAAATGTGTACCAATGATGGTGTGTGCCAAGACAGTCTGACTGAATTACACTAAAATGACCAGCAGGTTTTAGCTATTAACCCCTTGAAATTACAGGCTTACAAATTACAAATTAAGGCTTATTACTCAGTAACTACAGGGACTTCAGTGAAAACTGGCTGAGCTATTCTTAGGTTATAGAAGTGTGTAATAAAACTTTGGGCCCACCGGTGGGCCCTGGCCTTTTAAAGGGGTTGACTGGGTAAGTGTTTGGCAAAATCTTCAAAGTACTAGGTGATTATTTTGGGTTAAATGTGACAAAGTACCCAGATGGTCTGACTAAATTAAACCTAAATGCAAACAGGTTCTAGCTTTTAAGATAAAAAAGGGCATAAATTATTTCATCACTGGATAATTATTTGGAGTAAGTAACATGGTGAGTACAAATGAACCCACCATTTGTAATGTCATGTGTTTATGCAGGACACTTGAACCCTACTACATAACACTGACATGTCATAGCAGATGTCATATGCTGTTTGATGTCATGACAGAGTACATAACAAAACGTACCATGTGACGTAAGTTGTCATGACATCAAACATAATGACATATGTCATGACAGATATCGGTAATGGTAACATGGCACTGTTATTTTACTGACCAAAATCTGTTATGACAACTCTGAATATGACATCTGCCATGACATGTTAATGGCATAGTTACGTCAGTGTTATGCAGCAGGGTTAAAGTAAAGTTACCCCTACCAATTTTCTGACATTACAGTGAATCTGTCTTGGAACTTTCCATCATGCTACCCAAAATAATTACCTAGTACTTCAGAGTTTAATACCTGATTAATACTTAGAACTTAAAAGAACTGTAAAAGAAAGCATTACTGCATGTTAAAGGCACAAATATTGTGAATTGTATGAATAAACACAAGCAGAAATAATGTGTGGTTAAGTGCAACCATTGGCCCGATGCATCTGTACAATACAGTGGTATCCACCAGTCATATAAACAATGTAATGCATTATGAGCTAAAATAACACCATTTTACGTATTACATAAGCACACATACACACGCGCACGCACACACAGACTTATATACTGAACACACACACATGCCCAAACCCACACACTGTGGCTAATGCATTCTGTACTGGAACACTCGGCGCCTTTACCATCCTCTCCTGACGCCCATTGCTGCATCAGCTGATGCCATCGACTGCATGCTGCACACACTGTGAGAGCACAAAGACTCAACCTGTCTGCAAAGACTTCAGCACACACACATACACAGACACAAACATACAAATTTCCAGGAAAGTGACGCAAACACAGAATCGGTGTTTCAACAGCTACGGTGTCAACAGATTCATAACCACGCTGCACCTTTCAGCCTCAGACTAGATACATTTCTGAGCAGCATGGAATTACAGGAAACTGTATTTGATTCTGTATATGACAGAAGCAGCAAAGCCTGTTTGAGAGTGCCAAAGCACCATAAAGGCCCTCGACGTCTACTTAAACTTGGAGATCGCAACATAAACCCATAATAGGGATCTAAGTACCAGATTGGAGTTCTTCAGGGTGCAAACATGAGGCCTTTTTAGATATAAAACCAAGAACATCATCTGATTAGCTTTTGTAGCAGTGCTGAAGAATCTCCCTTTCATATTTGCAGTCTATTGCTGGAACATTGCCAAGTTCAGTGAGTTCATACATATCAGAAAAAAATTGGAAAATATAAAGTCTGATACTGTGATATCTAATCTATGAACAAGGGTGGGTAAATGGATCATGCATGGATCTTATTATGGATTCTTTTGGAACAATCTGGCTCCGCCCCCATATCACTTCCATCACTGTTGCCTTGTTGTGTTTGTCAGGCTGGCTTTACATAGTAAAACTTTTATACAACTAGTTGCATGTTATGAGTTGCCTGCAACATAATTTCACCTTTATAATACGTTGACAGTTACACAAAGCAATTCAAAACTAAAGTTGCACACAACACATTTGGATTACCTCACTAGTTAAACAGCAGCTTATATTTTTAATATGCTGTATCGCAATCTTCGAGATGTTATTTACATATTTGCAGCATTTTATCATCTTATAAATTGTCTAGATTTTATTGGTGTTCTTTTTTTCTGTATCTATATATTTGTGTTTTATCTATCTGACTATGGGTCTTTACAGTATATTTGACTTTTCTAATGTGCTTTGTGTGTGTTAAGCCTATGAAAATTAATGTGTAACTATGGTAATAGCCAATGTGATGCCTGTCCATGTAGATTCATCAAGGAATGCGCTTCTGTCTCCTTATCTCCAATCAATTCATCCTTTGAAATCCAAATGAAACTGAGCTCTGTGTAAAATTGGTTGCATCACAACAGGAGAAAATGTAGCTAGATAAATCACAATAACAACAGGCTAACATAGAATAAAGGGTGACCCAAGCAGTCGTTTAAACAGCTGTTGGCTGTTTAAAGAAACGCTCCCTTAGAGAAACTCACATTTGTTGTTCTGGCTCAGATAACTGACAAAATACACATGTGCAGTTTACTTTCATGTAGGTTTCAAGCAACTCATGTCGCGTGGAAGTTTCACTGTGTAAAGTCAGCCTAAGGGATGCACTGAACTGACAGCAACAGGAAAAAACAAAGCCTACAATGTGGAGTCAGAATCGTCTTGAACAGTAATTTTAATGGCAATGAAACTGAGAATTGGTTATTAAAAACACAGTTGGTTTCCTCCTCCTTCCTGTGCTCACCAGCACAGATGTTTTCAAACAGTTTGAGAAGCAGCAGCAGATCAAGGTTGAAGATGTCAGTTGTGTGGAACCTTTTCACGGTTTCTACCCTCTCAGCTCTTCACTACAGTTTTGATTCCACTTGAAATCATGACATCCTGCTTGAAAACACAGAATACAGTAAAATAACAGAAACAGAAAATAAAGCCCCTGCGAGCACTCAGATGCCATCTGGAGCTACAGTTTCTTAAAGTCACAAACAACAGCGCCGGTAAAGTATTTCTAAAATTAGGGAATTCGTTGCCTTGGATGACCAACTGTTTACTGTTGTTGAGGATGTTGGATTTTTTTTGGCACATATTACAACCTGCATACTGTAGTAATTTTAGTATGTTTGTTTTAAATAAACTGTTTTTTTTTATTGTTAACTTTGGTTTTTGGTTTTTAGGCCTAGTGTGTCCTGATCATTGGGTTCAGTTATTCATTTTGGTGCATCACTAGTGTTGGTTTATCTTAATATATTCAGTCCTGATGTTGTCCTTGTTCATCACAACGTCTTACATGTACTTTTGTCTGTCATTCTAGGTCTGTGTGCTTATGAGCTTATTCTTGTTACTCTAGTGTTTATTATTTTTTTGTGCACGTATCCTGCCTCACCTTGCATGTTACAGAGGCAAAGTTATTCATTTATAACATGCCATTATAAGCAGCTGATGTTCTTGCTTATAATATTTGGTTCACAAAGGCATATTTATAATATTATACCATGTAACAAGCAGAATATATGGCTACAGGACAAAAACACCTTCAAAACCTCTCCCTCTTTCATTCAGGCCTTTGGTCATACCTGAAACTTTGCCAGTAATTTTATAACATCTCATCTAAGCAAACTGCTGGATTAATTTTTCTTGGCATTTCAACCTCAGTTCGCGTTCACACATAACAGCCTGGGATGTATTTGCAGATACAACTGCATGTGTCAAAGGGGCTATATGTACATGTGTCCTTAAAACCCCAGGGGGGATTTGTTAAATTTGTCAAATGTAAGTTTACACACAGCCCTGGGTATAAAATGCAAAAATAAGTAAGATCAACAACAGATATATTACTAGTTTTTTTGAAACTACAATGAAAATTCACAATATACTCATGTAGTGCAGGCTGCTTCCTGTAGTTTTTCCGTCTCTGGACAGTGTGTAGTTGGGAGTCAGGCCTAATAAACATGGCTGGTCATACTGAGGACTTATGCTGCTGAATCCATGTGTCCATAAGTGAAGCAGGGTGAGTCTCTGTGTTCTCAGTGTTCTGTTGGATTTAGAGCTGAAGCTCATCGTCTTCCTCTTCTGGTGGTCAACACACATCAGTCTGTAAACACATAGACACAGACAGAGGACAATCATCAGGTTTTAAACCTTAGAGTTTTAAACATTAGAGTTATTATTGTTTTGTTATACCAATTTACATTTCATGATAATTGTAAACATAATGAGCTTTAATCAAATCCTAAATAATAATAAATGATCTCCTTTTCTAATTATGAACACAAATGTGATGTTACTCTGCTTATTTCTCTGAGCTACAAGTGAGATATAATTAAACAAAACGTAATAATAGACAATTCATGGTGGAACATTCAACCAAATAGGTTTAAGGTCAGAGTTGAAAATACATTTCAAGGTTTTAACTGGCCTTATTTATGCTTATTTTATACTGAACATTCCATTTTGTCACTACTAAAACCATCATAACACTACTGAAACTACTGAAACCAACTGTTGTGGTAGTGACAGTTTCAGTAGTGACAATTTTAGCTCATTTTGAGCAGAACTTGAAAACGCTCACCAGTACATGACTAGCAAACACTTTGAACAGCTGTACACACATAAAACAAAAAAAAAGTTTATTTAAATGCAGAATATGTGTTTCAGTAGTGACAATTCTTCACATTCCACACTGATTGACAGAATTTGGGACACATTTACTTCAAAACAATGGGATCTTACTGCTTACAATGTGGCCATGAGGGACAGGGATGCAGCCTGCTCATTTCCTGCTCTAAAATGCAGCGGTGTGGCTAAAATAAGGCTCCGCCTATGGACTAAAACTCTTCATGTTTCGGTAGTGACATGAAAACGTGGGACAGCATTGTTTTTTTGTTGTTTTTTTTTTTTTGTTTTTAAGTAAGTAATAGTCACCTCCTGATAGAAAGCACCCTATAGTGACTTTGTGTGTATTTAACTTATTTCTATATTAATGCCTTAAGTTTATATAGATCATAACATAATCTTTGTAAATATCTAAAGTCTGAATATTTAATTGTAAAAGTAGTCTTTTTTTTGTGACCACAGTTTTAACAAATTTGGTAGAAAGGTCCATATACACCATTGGAAAACAAGTAGGGTTAAAATTGCATAGTGTTGTAATTGTTGGACAAAAGGGTGAAGGTGTTGATAAAAGTGAAGAAAAGCATGTAAATTAAGTCATACAGTGATGACATCATTTCTCGTCTCACACTTTCACAACCCACACATGATAAGGACTCTAGTAGCTGGACTATAGTAAATGGCCTTACTGTACAAAACCACCGCCTGTCTCACTTCTGTTTGATTTCCTGTTTCTTCAGCCCCCATTGTGCACCCACCTGAGCACACCAAGCACTGGATCTAGTACATCCCCATACAAGACACAGTATCACACAGAAATAATACTGCCAGCTTTATTTGGACAGGAACTGGCAAGGAAAGGAAAATATGCGTGATAGAGCTGTTCTGTTTGTGTAATTAGTCAGAGGGTGAGTAAGGCCCATAACACTGCACATACAGACAGAAAAAACATGCTGCAGGCAGGGACCACCAGCTACAACAATATTCAATTACGCAGGGGTGACTGGTGCATACGTACACAGGAAAAACAGAGAAAGATTAAAAAAAGGTTTCCTCTGGTATAGTCAATCTGAAATTTGCTAAAAAAAATTCCAAACTATACAAAAAACTTGAATACTTCTTGAGTATTTGAATGCTGAACAATACTTTGGTGAACAATGCTTTAGTTGCTTTAAAAGTAAAACAATTCCACACTGCAGTGGACAGGCCTTGTTGTTCTTATCAATGCAGACAATAGGTATATAGACATTTTCGGTGCGACTCAAACTTTCACCATGGCTGACCAGCCAATCAGTGGAAAGTGAGTTAATAACCTACATTTTTTCTGCCATATTTGTGTTTAAATACACCTGTAAATTCAGCCAAAACAGACAGATGCAAGTTGATTACTAGCTAATAAACTTCAACAATCATTTCACAACCTTTCTTTTCTTTTGGACATGAACCACATCAATGCGATATATCAGGTGAACAAGGTTCTCCATGGTGAAAACTACTGCTAATTTCTACTTAAAAGCAGGGTAACATTTTTTAATTCTCTCACTGTTGTGAGTGAATGTTAAGATTATGGATATGTTTATACAGTTATTACATAACCTCAATTCTTTTCATTTATTATGACACAAACCATACAAGAGTGACAAGTCAGGTGAACGAGAATGCGATGAATTTCTAATTGAAAGCAACGTAACGCAAATTGTCCACAGTTTTGTGCTGTTGTGAGTGAATGGTTAGACTTTTTCTCGCTCCTTGTCTAGCATGTATAAGGCACACATTGCCAAATACTGAAGTAGCAACTGTTTAAAGTTGTTTAAGCAAATACTTCAATGAATGGTATAATTTTGCTGAAAATACCTCAATGCAAAATTATCTATATTAAAACTTTTTCATCTATATTAAAATCTATATTAAAATCTATATTAAAATCTTTATCAGCAAAGCCTACTGTGACGTGAAGCCAGCCCCTGCATTTAGTGCTGGAAGCAGACAGAACCCTCTGTCAATATGATGCTGAATTAGTGATTATAAAATCAGTGTAAATAGTTCATAAAGTAGTTTATGATTTTTCAAGAAATTTAGTTTGATTTCACAAAAATGTTGCGTTTTGAAGTGGGTCTTTCCAGACGCAGCAGCCTGCGGTAATGTCTTTACTGAAGGGCCGTGTGGTCTCTGTGCAAGTTCCCCTGTTCTATATTACACAAATTTCCCAGCAGCCCCTGAGGGTCACCTCAGCATTCTCTCTGCAGCATGTGCACTGAACACACACACGCACAAGTTTGTATTCTTGTCTTTGTGGGGTGTTTTCATGTGCTACTGTACAACTTCTGCTGTGCTCCACTTACCCTAACCCTCATCTTAACCTCAGCTACTAAAAGACCAGCTTTGACATACACAGTGACATAAATGAGGGCTGGGCAGGGGATGTGGGTGGCAAAAAATGACTACACTGAGAACAAGAAACAGGAAATGCTTTCAGGAAGAGAGTTTACTCCCTGCCCTTAAGAGATGTTTGTGGAAATGGCCTTTCCTTAATAACCATTTCCTAAAGCAGACTGTGAGCACTAACAAAACAGGCCAGTTAATGGGATTAAATAAAGCAATATCTTATGGGGTCTCTTGTGAAATAAAGTAAGATTTGCCCATTTTAATGACTCCAGTATGGGATCATTGGCTTAAGAGATACCTCTGGTTATCTGGAAGTCTTGCTGAAGTGTCTTCTTTTTTCAGTGGCCATAAATTTTGTTTCCACCAAAAGCTTATTATGGAGAAAAACGTTTTCTTGTTCTGTGGAGTTTTATTAGACACTTCTATAAACTAAGGATTATATATATATATATATATATATATATATATATACACACACACACACCTTCACAGAAAGCATATTTATGTGTGTGTATGTATATATATATATATATATATATATATATATATATATATATATATTGCTGTTGTCAGAACAAAACCTCGTATCTCCAAAATGATAACTTTACAGTATAAAGAAAAAACATACTTTACTTTTAATGGTAGTCAATGTAACCAGACTTTTTTAACTTGTCATTAAGTTGCATTACGCTTGTAATCTGAATGGAGCCACTGTAGACAGGAAAATGAGCTGATTCACTGGGTGCAGCACATGCAGAACACAAGCAGTGCCTGCACGCCACTTAAGTTTGTTCCAAATGCTCGTATCAAGCACTCTCATGGTTTCTTGGCCCATGGGTTCTCACACTGCTTATGCCACACTGTTGACGGGAGTGTGGTCTTTTCAGCTGTCTTTTGGGGGCTATACTCAAACATATATACTGCATTGTTTGGTTTGCATCTCTGTGAGGTTTTTATTGTCATTTCCTGTATTTTCCAGTATTTTGGAGTCATGCTCTGTTTTCTAGATTGTGGACTTAATTTGTTCCTCCCCGCCTGTGTTTTGACTCGTGCCTGCTTTGATGACTGTGAGTGTTAGTTTGCCCCTAATAAAGCTGCTCAGCGCATGTATCCTGCCTCAAAGCATCATACACTACAGTTTATTTCTAGTTCTACAAGCCACATTTCACAACTTCAAACACATAACATATTGCAAAAAATAATTCTAGAAAGAAATAATTCTAATTATTATTTCTAGGTGTGTTTAGTTGTTTGAAGTAATTTTATTGAGAAAAATTTCACTGGCAGACAATTGTGCTTGTTTCAAAAAATAATGTTAAATAATCTGCCAACAGAATTGGACCATTGTAGTAGATAAAATGTCTTAGTAGTAAAGAATGTTTGCAAATAAGCCAAATAATCCTATAATATTCTTATAACAAACTTAAAATTAGAAACACTGGACATTCTGACGATATGAGATGATTTCAGTGTTTTTTGCACATGTACATCTGACAGATCCTGATATTTTTTCCAAGGAATGTGAACGCCAAGTTACAAAATGTTCAAAATGAGTTTGCTGTTCTAACCTTTGGTAGATACAGATATAAAATGGCAAATTATTCAAAATTTTCTTAAATTTTCTGATGCATTCCACGTTTTTCCTGTATTACAGAGAAACGTGTTTGGCTTGACTGCTCTCCCTGTCATATAAACCTCAAAACTATCTGTGGTTGGCGCCACTTGCATCATTTCATTAAAGAGGGAACCACAAACCAGAGTGGTTGCCGGTTATTCTGGTATTGATCTGTAGCAGTGGTTTGGGTTTTTGCAGAAACTATCTGAAGCATCTGTACATTCTGCCAGACCTGTTTGCTAGCACAGAGGCTCCAAGAATAAAAAAAGGAAAAAAGCTTACATGCAGGTCTGTAGAGTCTATAATTCTAATACGTATGCAGTAATTGGTCGCACTGGAAAATCTAAGGAAAATCTAATTAATGTACTTTAAAGTCAAAAATCTTTTTTTTTTTTTTTGGATTTTCTTCTCAGAGTTATGAAGCTTTGTTATGACAGTGACGGTATGTTACACAGCTAATTCAAATAAGGCATCTCAAGTGAGCCAGTGCAAATGCTTTCCATAAACCACTTGGGTAAACCCATAAGTGAAAAAAGGTGTTCAGAAAAATGTTCAGAATTTCAGTGTGAAGAAATCATGGCTGCATATCTTCAGATCTGTATTTCTCTCATATTCATTTTTTTTACATAGTTTTAGTTATACAATCATTTGAATAAGCCCAATGCTGGGTTTTACCCCACATAGTGGCAAAACTCAGAAAGCATCTGTGAAGCCCAGTGTAGTTCCCCAACTGAGACGGACGCCTTTGAATAACTGTCCAACTGTAAAAGTATGTGAAACTGCATATCAGTCAAAACTACTGAAATGAACATCTGAAACTCAGCTAATCGGTAAAAGTGATGGGAAAACTCCTACTATGGCTCGTGTGTTTTGGGAAAGTTTGAGCCGGTGTCTGAACCGCTGCCACTCACCCACAGGAAAAAAGCAGCCGTTTCCAGCTGGGGGAAAAACACCTCCCTCGCGCTGAAGCCAGAAACACAGAAGCGAGACGTGCTGCTACCCAACAGTGACACAGAGGTTCAAACTGTACTGTAAGAGAACCTGGGCCTGTCCCTTCGCCTGCTGCCTAGACAGAACCAGCGGGAAACCCACAGGCCTTTTAGACCTTCAGAGAAGGCCTAACGATTTCCAGTAATGAAAAAATACATGTCTGTATTCATTTTTGTTCAATAGTATCATTCTGCTTGTTGTATCTAATCTCTGTTACTATTGTAGTAATACTCATATTTCATTGTTAAGTTTTGGTTGGAAACAAAAAAGGATCCTGAAAATGCTAAATTGTCAGGGTTTTTTTCACTATGGTATCTATGTAGATAGAGCAAGGTAAGCTCTCTCATTGGCTAGGAGTTCAGGAGCTGGACTGAAGGGCCTACAGGATACATTACCTTCCAAGAAAAGTGATAGTCGGATCAACCAATCATATTTTGATTTCCAGTTGGCGAGACCAACTGGAGAGGAAATTCATGCGGCCCTCAGTAGGTTGTAGATATGTCATTGACTGTGAATACAAGGCATAGCTTAACCAGGATCCAGTTAGACAGTAGAAATGGAAAATAGCAGCCACAAGGGCTCTGTACTGAGAAACTGTAAAACTTCTACATACAAGGAAAAATATATGTTAATGTCTGTTACAAGTGTCTTAATAAAACACATGGAATGCCACTTACAAGCTTCAAATGTCAACATTCAATGTAAAACCAACTTCTTCAGATGGGCTAGCAACATTAGCCATATTGTAAAATAGTTCCCCAACTGAGACAATTTTGATATTTGTGACCCAAACTACAGGCCTAGCAATGGTTCACCACTGGATAGAACAAAACATAACCTACAGCAGGCCATTTGAAGAAAGTCATATGGCACAATGCCACTTTGACTTGAGATGGCCTTGTAAAAGTGCCATCAAACTACTGAAAGAAAATACAGGAAGAAATACAGAGTGTTATGTGTAAGCACATATTTTGGGGTTTTTGTGTGTCTCTCCCCCAGTCCCTCTCCTTTCACAGGTGCTTTGGAATCAGTCATGTGAGGAAGACCTCTGAACAATCAGAGGCCTGGCTGGTGTATCTGGGGGAGGAGTTTAAGACTTAAACAGAAGTCTTCAAAATGTCCGAAGAGAGAGAGTGAACTGATCGCATGTGTGCTGTGTTTTTAATCGCTTGTGTTGGGAGTGTGCTTTTGTTTAGGTATTTTGCTGGTGATTCTTTTCTCAGTGTCTCTTGTGTTGAGGAAGTGCTTTAGTTTTGGTATTTTGCCTGAATGTTTTTAACTAGATTGTTTTATTATTTGTACCACCTGGGGTTTCAAACAGGTAAGATGGGTGTGCCTGTACATTTGCACCATACAGAAGTCTACTCTGTGTAGTTCCCTAGGCCAGAGGGCGTGCACCGCCACCGTTTGATTTCTTTCAGTGTGGTCGGCGGTTGGTTTTAATAAAATGGCTTCAAAAGCTCTATTGGTCGCTTTGTCACGCTTTTAACTCATCACCAGTTCAGTCTTTTAATGTGGCATGTTACTGATCCCACAGCACCCTAGACAAAACGTGGGGTTGTAACAATAGCAACATTATTTACACAATACTTTCCAAGTCTTTCCTAGTCAAAACCAAGACTTTTACATGGAATAAACTTAAATATCTTAAATATCAAACGTAGGCTAAAAAAAGGAATTGCAGTTCTAGTATATTGTTAGCATTACCATTATCATGTGACCTACTTTACCTTGCGTCATATTTTAAGCTACAGGCAATTCTGTGATAAGCTATGATAATTATAAGCGGTGATAATCAATTTGTGATAATAAGCTTAATTTAGCTACAGAATCGAATCAAATTAAATATTTTTTTTACTTCTAATATTCCATCCAGAGCGTTTTCTACTGGTATTGGCCCAATTCAGATGGTTGTGCATGAATAAAATGTTAAAACACAAATGCTGTCTTTCATTGTACTCGTTTTGCCAAGAACTGTGTTGATATAACACATTTTTCTGTTCATGTGCAACCAAGTGACACATTTGAATCATGCAAATTTAAAGCATTGTTTTTTTTCTTAAGCTTATTTATATAGGGTATTTGTTCAGTGGCATCTCCAGTAATAGTGCTTTGGGGACAAACAACCCATTCTTTTCAGTACAAGCACACTCACATTGGCAGTTATTTAAGGAATCATAGTAACGAGACTTGTCCCCAGAGACCCATTTTCATCTTCCCTCCCTACTCCACACTGAAAATTATTACATTTCACAAAGACATTACAGAAAACTGCTGCCAAGCACTCACACCAGCAAAAAGACATTAAACCAGCTGTGAAGAATCAGTAAAATAACAGTATCTGCCCCCAGAGCACAACAGGTCACCGCAGTTCTCATACAGCACTGAGGGAGTCACTCTGTTGAATAGTTTCTCAAAAGCCTCCCAGAGCCACTTTTCCAAACATAGAACAGACTTGAGTCAGAAGGATTCGCCCACTGAGAGTTCAGTTGCTATAGCATATTGTATAACAGTACTGCCCTCCATGAAGAAGACAGGGGTTTAATTCCCCACTTGGGTAAGCACATCATGCTATAGCCTACCACTAAAAGTCCTTGGGCATGACTCCTAGAGTTACATCCATCCACCTCTATAACATTATTAAAACGTTAGTAACATTGAAAAAGAGCATCTCCAAATGCAAATGTCACTTAATATAATGTGGTTCAGGTTGACAAGTTAGTAAAACCTCTACTGAGTGTCTCTGAATGGACTTGAGCAGCATTACATCAACTCAGCAGGTGATGATTTAATGCAGATGGTTTGACTGTTAATCATCACTTAGCTTAATTTTAAGACTATAGCTTGTTTTTTTTTTTGGTCAAAAATGTATGTAATTTCTTTCTTATCCCTAAATGTAATTGTTCAACTAAAACATGCTTGGTGTCTTATAGCCATCAGTTAGCATCATGCAAAATGACATACATAAAACATGTTTTCATAACATGCTGTTATTTAAAAATAGACATAGTCATCTTGAATTTTATTCGTGCTCTTGTCTGTTTTTATTTATAACAGTATGTCATAGTGTCGGAAACCACATAAGCAAGTCTATAAGCGCAGCGTTTGTAATGTCTATATTTACTATCCAAAACCGCCAGTGAAACGTCTTCTGAGGTTTATCTATGTAACGCTCATAGGGACAAAAAAGAGGTAAATCAGACGAAAATAAATTTTTTTTGCAGACTATTTTGCCTTAAATGCCCTCTATGTACCTCTCTGCCTTGAATGGATTTATATAACTGTTTTAGACCAAAACGTTCTGTCTCAGGCATCAGGCAGCACAATCGTAACCATTTAGCATTATAACTTTCTGCAAGGTAGTTTTTTAGAGGCATTAAACTCTTCAGATGTCTGGTTCTTATCACCAGTGTGAACAATTATGACTAAATTTTTCTGGAACAGGTCAGACCACTTGGAATGACCTTGTCTACATCTTAACTATTTAATTATTCATAAACCTTGGAAAATCTTCGAAATTCCCCTATTTTGAGGGCCCCACTGCTCTTCAGGAGTTTTGCTGTGTATGGAGAGCTATTGTTCTGAGAAATAATGGAGTTGTTACTATAACAGCAGAATGGGATGTCCTCTGTAGGGTGTGCATCAAATATAACTTCCCCTCTTCATTGTTAAACACATACCACAGCCTGAAAATAAGAGTGATTTATAGGAACTGAGAACAAATGCAGGTCAGCTGGCTGCAGCGGGAAATGATATACACACACAGACTCACCGTCTTTACGCAGAACACACTTCCACAGGCAGACACAGAGACAGATGACCAGCAGAAAGGCCACTGCAGTTACCGAGATCAAGATGGCCAGTGCTGTTCCAACTGAGAGAGAGAGAGAGAGATGCACATTCAGTCGTTCATCTTATTTTTCTATATTTAATTAAAAACAAAAATGCTTATATGATACTAATTATCACCACTTGCAATATACTAGTTTACACCAGTTAATGCTGCACTCTCAGAAATAAAGGTAGTAAACTGTCACTGGGGCAGTTCCCCTCTTGTCACTGGGGAGGTACCCTCTATAATAACAACTGTTTTTGGTACATCGAACCACACAAATGTCACAAGTGGACCTCAGGGGAGAAACAACATAAAGAAAAATGGGATATAGGCCCTTTAAAACTTATTTCTGGATGCTTTTAACAGCATCACAGCATCAGAAAAACAGCTGGCATGCATATGAAATAAGCAAAGACTAAGATTGGCGACTGAAAATGTGGGTCAAAAGACCAAGACACACAGAGCACTTCTTGTCAAAGATTTATAATCACTTAGGAACATATCACATTAACTTTGTCAAGACTTGATTTAAGGGCATGACTCCTACTTTGTCCTCTTTGAGTTTGAGGCTGGACTGATTGTGTGGCCTTTTCTTGACAGCAACATTCATAGAATTTACGCCTTTAAGTCTGCACATCAATCCTATCCTACCTAACATAAAATATAATACATTCTTTCCTTTGTCTCCATTAACTCATTCAAATCTGACCCCAGAGTAGTCGGTGAGCATTTATGTCCATGTTTGCCAAAGTAAAATTAATCAGTATGTGAAACTGGAACTTTCTGAGTGCTACTCTGTTTTCTACCATGGTCTAAAAGAAGCTCCATGCAGCCTTTATTTTTGGATGCACTGCTATAGTTTCTGGGCAAGCGTCCACACACATTCAGAACACAGTTCATATTGCTATGGAAATATATATTATTCATTTGTTTAACAATAAAGGAGACTGGGTAACACTCATTCCTGTTCGTTATGTTTTCTTGCTCATAATGTTAGTTTGTCAAAAACAAAATACATCTACACATTCTCTGCCTTTGTGTTCTTTGCATATCACATTAATAAAGCTGAAATGTAGAGGGCAGAAATAGCCACTTTTTGTTAACATAGCCCCAGTAGAGAAGACTCTCGGTGTACCTACTATTAAAGCAGTTGAGGTTTATTATATCTGCCTCTATTTTTCTCCACCCGTCTCCTGTGTGTGAGAACCTCTAAGGCTTGGCTTTACAGAACCAGATGACATTCATTCCTCTATTTTTTCTGGGTTTAGGGCTGGCTGATATTTCTGTCCAAGAGCTGCTGAGTTCTGAGGTTCTGAGCCAGGAAAAACATGCACAGAGAGAGGTGAACACTGAACCTCAAAGACACTCGAGCTGAACATTATTTTGGGCTACAGCTCTGGGTCTTTAATCATTAGCCCCTGGGCTTTTAATGCAAAGTTAGGACTATGAGGAGAATTTTGAGGAAAATCATTGCAAAATATTACCACCATTTCTCCCACCAAGAGTAGGCTGTGAAACACAGTGTCAGACTGCTCCACCCAAAACTTGATTTTTAACTATCAAATCTGCTTCTCTGTTCTTTCCTTTTTCTCTCAGAGTTTGCTTGCAGGCAGTGGCAGTGCTAGGATTGGACCAAGCAGGCCAAGGCATTTACAATTGGTAGTCAAATGCGTCTCTTGTTAGTCTGATGTGATTGCTATGTGGCACGTAAGATGCACATCAGCTCATATATAACAAGCAATCACCAGTGTTCCTGGCTTTTCCTGTTCTACTCAAAAAGATGACTTATGCCTCAAACATCACAAGGGAGGAGTCAGAGTGTTGGGAGGGGTTTTGGTTCTCAAATGTAGCTTGAAGAAACATTGACACATGTATGACGTGTCCTGGGTGCATCTTTAGGTAAATAATCTCTATCCAGATATATTCTGATACTCAAGGAGTGTGAAATGACTAAGTGTAAACAGGGCCAAAGGAACATTTGCTAAGTGTTACTTCCTGAGCCTCAACCACCCAGCTACAGTTTCCGGCGCTGAAATAGGCACCTCTTACACGTTTATGAGAGGTTTATGAGCTTATTGAGTACTTTAATAGGAGTATTACTGCAGCATTTTGGACGTAAATGTAGGGAGGACAATAGCATGGATTTAGGGATTGGACATTACATGACCATGGCTTGTTTATAGCACAAAAAAGTCAAGCACAACCATGTAGCATTAGAGAAGTATGTACACTAACTATGAACAGTTATTCAACACTGAATGCAGCACAATCATCATCTGGCTCATTAACTCTGAAGGTTTAGACTGCTTTAGCACATTAAAGATACTGTATATTGGTTATCATTGCTCCTTTGTGAAAGAGAGATTTGTACTCTAATAAGCCGTTTCCTACATCATTATTTTGGTAATATCAATGTATAAGAGACTAAAACTAGCACAGGTGACATAACCTCAACATCAACTTGTCTTTTTTACTGATGAAACATTCTCCTATCAATAGGCCTCTAATCATTAGCAAGTCTGGCTTTAAGGCAAGTTCTGACCTGGAGTAAAATAAGCCATCAGTTCCAGACAGCCAGATGAGTCTTATGCTAGTGGAGACAATGATTCACGCATATAACAGTGATGATGTGTGTACTGGTGGAAAGAGCTTTTATAGCAGAGTCCTTTAGGAAATGTAAGCAGTTCAAGGCCTGTCTGGCAGGGAAAAAATGTAGCTTTTATATCTTCAAAAAATGAATAAATTCTGGGTAGTTGAGAAAATATTATCTAGCAAAACTTAAAGGACTTCATTACTCTTCTTCCTTTTAACAGACACATTTTTTCAACAAAGATAGCAAGGCAACTATATGTGACCCTATAATGACTATGATTACCTTTGTCATAGCGTACCTCTCTTGCTTTTTAAGGAGTACATATATTAACTGTGCAAATTAAATTAGGAAGAACTTTGTTAATTTTGTTTAGAATCAACAGCATCATTTCATGGCATATTGTAATTGCCATGGCTTGAGTATATGCATTCGTGCATTTCAATTTTGTGATATATAAGCTCTCTAAGGTGGTTGGGCAACACTAAACACACTGTAGTGTTAATTAATGAATGAATGAATTAGTTTATTTATTTCCTGAATGCAGTTGTGCTTGTGCATTTCTGTTGGCATCAGTAATTTGTAGCTGGCTATATCAAGAGGCCTATTTCTTAGGTACAGAAATAAAACACAGTAATGCATTAAGCAGACATTACTTATGCAGTATAGCAGTAGTTTTTGCAAGTGTTTTTGTAAAATGGTGCTTACAGAGCAAAACTTCTCCCAGTAAGATCTGATTTGCTATAACATATCAAGGTCTTTGGCTGAGCCCTGGGTGTTTGCACAGTCTAGGCACGCTCATGGTCACAAGTGTCATAAACCACATAAGCGAGCCTATTTGAGATTACTAAACAACTCGGTGCAGTTTGAGGTAAGTGTGTGATGATTTACGCATGCAGTTTGCACAATGCTAAATAGGCTAAAATCCTGCACTGTTTGTTGGCTACATTAGCCTTGTAACTCCAGAGCAACACTAAAGGAGCAAACTTCAGACACCAAACATGTCTTGTCTGAGTTAAATTTGAGGTAGGGAACAAATTGTGTAAACTTTATTTTTTGCCAAATTATCACCTGAATGTTAAATGATTGTAGGTGAAAACTCCCATTTTTGGCCCAATTTTAGCTGGATTAGTTTTAGCAGAGAGGGTCCAGTAATGTAACCTGTGTGTGATTTGACTGGCTAATTCATACAGGATAAAGGATCTGTGTAATGTCCCCAAATTACCCCAAACTGGATTGAAATGTCATTGTGCAGATGTTCACGTCAGTGCAACACGACAGACACCGCACTTCCAAACAATAACATGTTGTTTGGCTAAATGGCAAATGTGATGGCAAGTAAAAAACAATATGTAACACTGGACAAGGGAGGGGACTTTAGTGTGGAATGATACCTGTTGTCATGAACATCATGTTTTTAGCTGTTAGCCAGGCCTTCAGACTGCAAAAAAGAGGAATATGGAGCCAACATTTTCTATTACCCAATTTTGTTATTCCATTATTATGATGCTGATTCCAACAAGACCGCTACTCCTGAGGAAGCGCTGAGGAAGCGAATTATAGAAAGTAATCAGTCAAATTGCATCCTCCCCATGTAAAACTAATCCAGCTCCAATAGGGTTAAAAAAAACAAATAAAATGCTGCATTGTCAAGCATGAATGATACTGGACCATGCTGTGGCCTTCCAGCACTGTCATGGCACCCTTATCTTCATACTCACTCTTGGTGTTCATGGATACAGCTATGGCAGACTCCAGCCCTTTGTGGTGGACGAGGCATTTGACGGACACGTCCTTCAGGAGTCTGGCCTGTACGGTGAGGGTGCTGATGACCAGTATGGTGCCGTCGTCCTGTGGTGTGATGGTGGACACAGGAGGCCCCAGGGTCCTGTTGTCTCCTTCCACATTCCAGACAATTTCAGCCTTCGGACGGGCCACAGCCGTACAGTTAGCCTCTATCACACCCGGAGACGTGGTTTTGTAGCTCACTTGAGGTTTAGGAAGGACTAGTGAGGGGAGAAAAATACAATACAAACCACATGAGCAGAGCAGGGGGTGACTTTATGAAGTGTATAAAAGTATGTTTTTGTCAAAAATCACACTGTTCATCTTTCCACAAAATTTTGTAGAAGTTTAGTTTTGCACTGGAGCTAATAAGCTGCTCCAGCTATCAAGTAATGGAAGCTTATAGCCAATTATCAGCACGGAGCAAACTGCATGTCTTAATCATCGCACATGCTTCAGACTGCATCAAGCTATTAAAGGGACGGGCCAGTTAAAAATGAGAAATGTTTTTATCTCTACATCTGTTGTCTGCTCGCTACTACAGCAGCACCACAATAGTATCCAGAGTAGGATTTTCTGGTTAAAACTGGGAAATCCCACTTCTGTGTATCTTGAAGGTTGGAAGAACTTTTGAAAAACTACAAGCACTTTGGTGTCAAGTCAAAGTTTATTTATATAGCACTTTTTACAACAGGTGCAGTGGCAAGGAAAAACTCCCTAAGAGCAAGAGGAAGAAACCTTGAGAGGAACCAAGACTCGAAAAGGGGAACCCACCCAGGATGGGCAGCTGTTCAACTCGGTAAAGAGAAGGAAACACACAGAGAGTTAGTTATGTAAAGAGTGACTGATCACAGATTACAGTATTAACAGAGTGCAGCAGGTCTAGTTATTACAGCCTAACTAAAAGGGAGAAACGAGAAAGGTAACAGAGTCATGAGACTCCCTGAGATGTCGGCGCCCCTCTGCTCCACCTTCAGCAAACCTGAGTGAACGCGTGAGAGCAGCAGGATGACAGCACCAACACTCCCAGTTTACCATAATACTCTATGACCAAGAACCCCCAGATCTGCACCTTTTATCTGACAGGGAAAACTAATTACCAAAGGCTTGACTAAACAAGTAAGTTTTTAGCCTAGACTTAAAGACAGAGACTATTCCAAAGTTGGGGGGGCTTTGTATGAGAAGGCTCTCCCCCCTGATGTAGCTTTATTAATTCTAGGTACTAAAAGTAAACCAGCACCTTGTGATCTTAGTAGGCGTGATGGTTCATAGTAGGAGAGAAGTTCGCTCAGGTACTGTGGGGCGAGTCCATTTAGAGCTTTATAGGTCAATAAAAGAATTTTATAATAGATGCGAAATTTAACTGGTAACCAGTGCAGGGTTGATAAAACTGGGCTGATATGGTCACATTTTCTGGTTCTTGTGAGGACTCTGACTGCAGCATTCTGGACTAGCTGAAGCTCGTTGAAGCTTTTTCTGGAACATCCAGACAGCAGGACATTACAGTAATCCAGCCTTGAGGTAATAAATGCATGAACTAGCTTTTCTGCATCCTGTAGAGAGAATGCATTTCTGAATTTAGCAATATTGTGGAGATGCAGGGAGGCTGTTCTAGTAATATTCGTTATATGTGCATCGAAGGACAGATCAGGGTCTATAATGACACCAAGATTTTTTACAGATGAACCTGACGCAACTGAGAAACTATTAAGTGTTAAATTAGACAGTTTGTTTCTAGCAGTTTTGGACCAAGAAGCAGAACCTCTGTTTTATCTGAGTTAAGTAGGAGAAAGTTACTCGACATCCAGTCTTTTATGTCTTTTATACAGCCCTCGATCTTGCCAAGTTGAATTTTATTATCTGGTTTGCTTGATACATATAACTATGTGTCATTGGCGTAGCGGTGGAAATTGATGCCTTGTTTGCTGAAAATGGTGCCCAGTGGTAGCATATATAATGTCAATAATATAGGCCCTAAAACATAGCCTTGTGGAACACCATACTTTACTTTTGCGAGGATAGATGATACGCCGTTTACTATCATAGCTATCAGTGAGGTAAGATCTGAATCAGGAAAGAGCTATTCCTGTTACCCCTACAAGGTTTTCTAGCCTATCTAGTAATATAGAGTGGTCTATCGTGTCAAATGCCACACTAAGATCAAGGAGGACTAGCAAAGACACATGTCCTTGGTCAGAGAATAATAAAGGATCGTTTACAATTTCACTAGTGCTGTCTCTGTACTATGATGTGGCCTAAAACCAGACTGAAATTTTTCATGTATATGATTCTTATACAAATAGGAACTTAATTGTTTTGCCACAACTTTTTCCAAGATCTTTGATATAAAGGGGAGATTCGATATAGGTCTATAAGTTGATAGTCCACAGGGATCAAGGTTAGCTTTACTGCTAGTTTAAAAGTTTTTGGGATGTAGCCAAGGCCAAAGAGGAGTTTATTATTGACAGAATAGGCTTGGTTATTTCTGGCAAAATTTCTTTGAGTAAACCTGTAGGAATCGGATCTAACATACAAGTAAAAGATTTTGCGGAGGAAACGATTTTAACTAGTTCATTTGAAGTAAACGATTCCAGCCTCTCTGCAGAAGTTACAATATTCTCAAGATCTAGACTGCCTAAGGCAGCAGGTTTGTAGACTTTAACTGTGCATTCAGAATTTTCTGCCTAATTTTTTCAATTTTATCACTAAAGAAATTCATAAAACCATTGCATCAGTAACTGTTTGGTTCTTAGTTATTTTAGAAATTGTGCTAAATAATAATCTAGGATTATTCTTATTGTCTTCTATGAGAGAGAAGAGATATGTTGAGTGTGCTCTTCTGTAGTCTATAAGGCTCTCCCTCCAGGTGGACTGGAACACTTCTAGTTTAGTCAGGCACTATTTTCGCTCTAGTTGTCTTTTAAAGCTCGAGTATGGTTATTATACCATGGGGCCGCTTTTTCTGCCTTATTATTTTACTTTTTAATAGAGCCACATTATCTAGAGTAGATTGAAAAGTATCCTCTAAGCACTTGGTCATAATATCTACTTCAGTAGGATTAGATGGACAGCTAACAGAAGCTGATAATTGTGGAAGGTTTCTGATAAAGTTACCAGCTGTGGAGGAAGTTATAGTCCGCTTAACATGATAGCATGGTGATGAACGTACATTACCACTAAGGCCAAATTCATATGAAATTAGATAATGATCTAAGACTTGAGAGCCGTGGATACTTGTGAGCTGTTTGAAATGTCCACTAGCTTTCAGAAAGAATCTATATAGTTGACGTTACCCCTAGGAATCTGAATATTACTTCTGTATTTGTTAACCACATCTACAACTACATCAGTGGCTATGTTAGCAGTCAGTATTTTATCATTACAGTTGGGGGGGGGGTCCTAAAGTAGTGCAGCAATACAGTATATTATATATTATTACAAATAACATATTAAAGCTATGTATTGCAAGATTTGCAGATTTGGCAACCTCCCTGGTGGAAATGTGTAATTGCACGAATATGTTGAACAAAATGTCTGTTGTGCTTCTGAGCCCTTCCCCCCATTCTGGATCATTCTATAGGTCCATTCATCATGAATTTTTGATACAGTATAAAGTGGAACTGGAGTTTTCTAGTTATACAAAAAAGTAACAATGTCAAAAAATACATTTTGCTCAACAGAGGCAAGATATAAAAATGGACAAAAGTAAAAAAAAATCAGGTTATGATTCGGCTGGAATTACTGTTTTTAGTGTTTTTTTTTACTATGAAACGTATTTATGTTCACTTTTATAGACAACAGTATGTCATACAATTTGAGAAACCACATAAGTTAGCCTATTCAAATAATTCAACATAATTTTATGTTGATGTATGATCATGTAGTTGGCACAATGCTAATCTTCCATTGCTTGTTAACTACTCTAACTTTTTGGGCCCAATCAAAAACTAAAGAAGCAAACTCCAGACACTAATCATGTCTTGGCTGATCAGCTGCATTTGGGGTAATGGGGAAATTGATTTATTGGCTGAACAATCACTTTAGGCAGAGATCTGTGTGGGTAACAGTAAATCTGACACTGTGAGCAAGTGTATGCTTGGGAAGAATGCCTGGTATGCATCAGCAAGCAAAGCTTTGTTCTGGCAATATACAGTCTTTCAAGGCATCATACGGCCTGGTCTATATTAGCTGAGTCTGGGGAAAAGGATTTTTTACATAAATTATGACCATTTGTGTTGGTTAGAGCAGTAAAGGTTGGGTTTGTAAATCTACACCACAAGTTTCTTTTTTATTCAGACTAACTGAGCAGAATTTCATGAACACACCCTCAAGTGTATCATCTGAGACAATCTGAGACTGCTCGGGATTAGGGGCAGGCACATTATTGCAAACATGTGGAAATCCAACCTCAGCCTAGTATTCTTTCATCTAATCAGATATTCAAATAAGCACATTTGAAATAAGAAAAAGAGACAAATTGTGTATTATTTTGTTGTTTTTAAATGACTGAGCATGTGACAAAACATTAGTGGCTAATTTAGCAGATATATATATATATATATATATATATATATCATTGTTTTTTTAAGATAAGATAAGAAATATGTGCCTTGTTAAGCTGTTATCGTTATCATTCTCTGGGTGTGTCATATGCAAAGGTTTGGACAACCCGGTCACATTAAATGTTGTGTTGATCTTTTATGATTACTCTTTATTTGCTGAATTTATCATATTGGGGAAAAAATAAAACGTGTGACCTTGATTTTTCCCCAATATGTTAAACTCAACAAATAAAAAGAAATTATGCACTACAACTAGCAATATTTCAGTGTGTTCTCTGTAGATGATGTGTCTCATTTGCAGTTTAAAAAAATCACTAAGGCAAGCAGTTTAACTCAGGTGTTCAAACTTTTGCATGAGACTGTATGCCATGAACACAAAGCAGTAAGTCTGGTACAAATCAACTGTTATGGTAACTGCGTGCAATAAATTTTCTGTTTTTATTCACTTTGGGGAGAGAGATTCTATGGAATGGCAGTGTGATTTAGGTGGTATTCTTTGGTACATAGAAGCCTGCATACTGGAAGAAAGATAAAACAAATAGAAAAGAAAGAACAGAAGAAAGACGGTAAGACAAAAAGAGGCAGTGGGAGAGCACAGAGAGTCAGTGTGTGACACAATCACACATTTCACCCACAGCCTCAATCACATCTCTCACAGCAGCAGCCTCCTACAATCAGCTCCTTTCACAACTCACTGCTCCCAGTCTCTCTCTCTCTCTCTCTCACTCTCACTCTCTCCCTCTCTCTCCCCTCAGTCTGTCACTGTCTTTCTCTCCCTCTCTCCCCTCAGTCTGTCACTGTCTCTCCCCTCAGTCTGTCACTCTCTTTCCCCTCAGTCTGTCACTCTCTCTCCTCTCTGTCTGTCACTGTCTCTCCCTCTCACTCCTGTAGTCTGTCAGGCTCTCCAACTCTTTCTCTTCTCTCATCCTCTTTCTCTCTCTCTCTCTCTCTCTCTCTCTCTCTCTCTCTCTCTCTCTCTCTCTCTCTCTCTCTCTCTCTCTCTGCTATCAGCTGCTCTCTCTGAGTGGATTTGTGTTTCTACTCGATTCACATTGCGATAACATAAGCATTCAATCTGAATGGTCAAACAGTAGAGTGGGCAGAAGAGGTCACTGCTTGAGATTAATCAAAACACCACGACTGCCTAATAGACTGAAAAACGCATGCGTGGTATATGAGACAATTTGTTCTTTCAATGACATGTATTGCACTCCTACAGAGTGTTACACCAGTTATACCAGTGTTAGGATACACTGGTAAAACAAGACAAAGCACTTGCCAAATTTCCAAACTATTTGCTACCCTACGCTTCCCACCTTTTGTTGATCTGAAGTTAGTTGGCTCACTTGAAAACCCTTGTTTGTCAAAACACCCACAGATCACTTACCAGTGTTCCAGTAGCACATTAACCCCTTAAATGGCCAGGGCCCACCAGCAGGCCCAAAGTTTTATTATACACTTCTGTAACCTAACAACAGCTCTAATAATAAGCCTAATGAGCCTGGCATTTTAAGGGGTTAAAACTAAAGAAATGGTTTGAGAAAAATCTAATTTACAGTTTTCCACTTTCTGGTCCAGATGTAGCTGATCAACACAAGATATGTTTAATGTCCAAATTTTGCTGATTCAGTTTAGAGCTGGAGCCCTAAGGCTACTGTTGCTAACAAACACTAAAAGTCATTTTTATAGTTCACTATAAGTCACACTGTGTCCTAAACATCATCAACACGTCTGTGTACCTTTAATGAAGATCTGGATGCAGTATGTATTCATGGAAGAGATTTAGGTGGCAATTGACTTTAAGTGCATGTCAGCAACATTAGCCTCGTAGTTCCAGCACAAAAATAAAGAAACAAAATTTGAACACCAAACATCTGAGGTAAAAGGAAAATTGTGTAAATTTGATTTTCCACCAGACCGTTCCTTTAACACACATACACAACCCAGTGGAAAAGATCACAAATCCCAGCAGTATTTCATACTGTATAATCAGTGTGTGGGATCAGTTCATCTTTCATTGGTGTTGAGAGATGAAACAGATGTTGAGCTTCTCTACACATTGACAGTTTTTTCTTATGCTAACAACAATCACAAACATTCAACTTTAAGTGTTTGCTTTTGCATTCATAACAGTGTAACATTTTCCTGTTGGGATATTTGAATACAATAACTGAACACAATTTCCTTAAAATGCAGAAATAAAAGGACGGTGATAGAAGACCAATCACCTATAGATGCCTGCAGGGGTGTAAATTTGGTCTGACCTTAGGTTGGGGCAATGTCAGGAGGCAAAGCATGACTGAAAATACACCTTTTGTATTGACAACTCATAATTAATATTAATATGTCAATATTAAACAATTACAATGGCTTTTTGTCTTTCAGATGTCACTAAAATTCTTAGCCATGAAAATCGTGATCAGTCATGATAAATATATATGTAGCTCTTTGAAACCCTTTTAAAAATGCCAGGAAGCTCCTGTCTAAGTCACAGAACCATCTTTTGATCATCTACAGAACATACCAAACACAGTGAGGCAGGTGGAGGCGCTCTTGGTACCCTCAGGGTAGGTGTGGAACTCGCAGGTGTAGCAGCCCTCGTCTTCCGTCCTGACAGGCCGTAAGGAGAGCCGTGAGTCAGATAGAGAGCGGCTCAGGCTTGTGCGGTCCGCATACTGCTCATTTATGGTAGGGTCACCTCGCTTAGCATAGGACGCCACCTCCTGAGTTTCACCACGCTCTACCGTCTTCTTCCACAAAACCTGCTCCACCTTCTCAGGCAGACCGTACCGACAGGACAGAGATGCCTGTTTCCCACTGACCGCTGTCTTATTACCATCCTGAACCACTGATGCTGAGAGAGAGAGAGAGAGAGAGAGAGAGAGAGAGAGAGAGAGAGCATTAAATAACACAAATCTATACACTAATCTTTGAAAGGTTGGAATTGATGTTTTTAGTAACACAAAACAAACCTGGGTGCTGATTAATCTATACAATGAATCTAATATGCTGGTCCTGTCCAGCTTCATAGGTTTCAAATAATGCAGATGATTTTAAAATGATTAAGAAAGCTTTATAGCATCAACATCCAGAGCGACTTATATTTGAAAAGTGAACTTGATGCATTATAAATAGATAATTGCAGTTTATAATTATTAATTTAGTAACGTTTTGTTTCCAAATTATGGAAAAAAAATCTTAAAAATACCTTATGGTGTCTAGTTTATCGTCTTCAATTCAACACTGTAGAAGTTATTATTACATATAAACAATACAAATTGTTATAACAAACAATTCCAAATTTTTATTTATCCAGTATAATCATAATTTTATAAAATGTATTAGTTGTGCATAAACACTTATTAACCCTTCATTCAATCAGGTATCATTTCAGTGTTTAAAAGTAGTTAGACCTCCATCTGACCCAGCAGCTGTTTCTAATCTCTAAAATTCATATTTTTCCTGCAGCCTCCACCAAAGGGACCAACCATTACTAAAGAGTGGGACAGGCCTACATCTCTATTCTCTCAAGAGCAGCAGCAATCCGAGCAAATCCAGACAGCCAGACAAAACACATATTTCAGCTTTAGACAGTCACTAGACTTCTGGTGGCAGTAGCACATACAGCAGTATAGTTTTGGGTGGAGACAAAAGTGTTTTAAATTTAATTCAGTTTTACTGAAGTGAATCTAACAACCACAGAAATGTGATGAGGTCTGAGACAGTATTTAATGTCTTCTTACATTATACATAGTGGGTTCAACCAATCATTCTGAATCTCTTCAGTTCCACCGTAGAAGCTGTAACAAATCAGTTTGACGTTGGGACTTGCCGAAACTACAACCCCTGACACAATCAACTCAGAAACTTGTTGATCACAAGCTGAATCATAAGTCTGCAGAAAAATAGCCAGAAAATCATCTGAAAACGTGTACAAATACAAGAACCCCCCAAAATTTTGTTTTCATTCAACATATGACCTGAAATAGTCTCAGAGTTCTCACTTCTATTTGGATGGAATCAAAATATAGGCTGTGCTGTACGTCCAAAAGAATCTTGACACACCATTTATTTAGAGATTTCAGTTATTTCAGGGGCACTCATTGCTGAAACAGGTGTTCTAATGTGCATGTACAACTTGTAAAATCGTCTCCAGAGAAAAGTATCATCAATAGAATAAGATGCCTTAGAGCAGCAGGTCACCATGCCCAATGCCAAGCATCAGCTAGATGGGTATAAAGCCCCCAGCATTGGGCTGTGGAGCAGTGGAATTGTGTTCTCTGGAGTGATGGAGCTCCATCCAATACCTTTGGGATGAGTCCAGAACTTATCATCCAATATCAGTACCTGACCTCACTAATGCTCTGACAGCAACCAAATCTTCACAGCAATGTTCCATGATCTAGTGTAAAGCCTTCCCAGTAAAAAGTAAAGGCCTCAAACTCCCTGGATTTCAGGAGAGACATTCTTCTTCAGTTCTTGTCAAACCTTCTTTAGTCTCTGCACAGAAGAAAAGTTTTCTTGACATCCAGTTTAAAGTTTGGAGCTCTCCACAGATGTGATGCTGGCCACTGCACCACAAGATTATGAAAAATGGTGGAAAATAGAGTAGAACCAGATTATTGGCAAAAAGCTTCTGAAATTCTTATAAAACTCCACAGAGATGCTTTTTTATATTTCCAAAAGCGTTTTTTTTTTTTCCATGATGGACTGAGACTAGAAAAAAGGCAAAGGGCAAATTGTTCCAGGCTTTGTCCACGATAACTCTCTGACATAAAAAACATAGTTTTTACTTGGACACCGAATCTCATTCGTGCCCCAAAGCCAGGCAAACAAATACATTTCTATTCACATGCAGTCAAAGGCAATATATCAGTATTGAAAACAGTTCAGCTGAGTCCACTGACTGACCAAAGATTCACACCAAAATGCTCTGAAGCACAAAATCACAGGGAATTTATTGAAGTATTCTAACTTGTTTACTCTGATAAGCTTTACTGCCAGCACATGTGTTAACTAGCACAGTTCTGAAGTTAGACTGGTCTACTGTACTTGTCCACTTTTGGTAGGACTAAAATGCTTAACTCATTAAATGGCCAGAGCCCACCGGCAGGCCCAAAGTTTTATTATACACTTCTTTGACCTAAGAATAAATTAACCTGTTTGCATTGAAGTCCCTGTAGTCACTGGATAATAAACCTTAGTATGCAATAAGCCTGGGATTTTAAGGGTTTTAAAGGATTTTAATCAAGGGTTGATTCAGGTAACATTTTGGTTTTCCACAATAATCAAATAAACAGTGCTTAGAGGCAAGGGTCCACAGTACCATTAGCTGCTCTCTAGTCCAGTGTTTCTCAACCTTGTAACCTGAAGGCCCACTGCCCTGCACTTTTTAGTGTTTTTCCCTGTTCCCGACACACCTGATGCAATTAATCAGCTCATTCACTGCCCATTATTGAGTTAAAGTGGCAGGAAAAGCATTAAAATGTGCAGGGCAGTGGGCCTTCAAGACCAGGGTTGAGAAGTACTGCTCTCACATTTCACGTTTTGGCCTTTGAAAACACAGAGCCTGTGGCTTAAGTGGTCTCTTGGAGATTTTTGTTGTTTTTCCTTTAACAAACCAGCAAACCAGTTTTCACACATTCATAAATACCCACCATTAATAGTAAGACTACTTTTCCGTAGGCTTGAGTGATATGTAAAGCACAATATTGTCTTGTTAAACACATACAGTCCACTGTAACCGTTTTACCTTTCATTTTGAAAGTTATAATTGCAAACACATGCATTCATGAGATCTTGCTGATGTGGGTTTGTGGTTGTTTCTTCTATTTGAATGATGCACACAAATCTGACTTGTGTGCTAATATCTCCCCCATGTGGATAAACCTCAGACTGCTAAATGTGCACTTAATAATGTAAAGTTTGTAATGCATATCTCTTTCTCAAAGCAACACCTGACTGTTTTTTGGTACCAAACATGCCTTCTTATTATAAATACACTGCATATGCAGTAAGCATGTGTCTATAATGGCCAAATTCTTAATTTCTTTATTTTCACATGTTCCTTGGCTTGGTGGACTGAGAGGCCAGTGCACATTTTTTCCATCTACCCCTGCTAAAAGGGTGATCAATCTACTCATAGATTGAGATTGACGATGAACTCCTAATGTGAATTCAGTTCAACAAACTGCAGATATTTAGTTAACTCTCAGAACATGAATATTAATAGATAATTACTTATTCATATACATGTATATGTAATAACTGCATTCACTTTCTATACCAACAGGTTAGATTCTGCACTTTTTTCTTTTTCTTAATTTGTTTATATGTAAAAAAATGAATTAAATAAAGAAATAGAAAGAAATTTAAAGGATGTTTTTTCTTGTCACAAAACACCACATACAAGAATATCTTTCTATTAAATTTAAATCATAATAAAATATCTACTCTTCTATGATTGAGAAATAATTAACAAAATGTAAGAAAAGTGTTTATATAAAAATAAAAAGTGATGCATTGAATTGACCTGATTTATATATGTACATTATTACCCTATGAATAGAATTTAGCATATTTTCTACTCTACTTTAACTTTATTTTCTTTTGATTATACATTTTATTCATGATATAGATATGATGTATACATTTGAATCCATTAAATTTAGTGCATCAGTGAGGGACCCAGATCATGCATTGTAGGGGCACACTAGATTAAGGGGACTACTTCAGTAAGTCTCATCCTTTTGGCTCATTCAGGACTCACCAGTGACTGTGAGGCACGTGTGTCCATCTTTGGAGCCGGACGGATACACATCAAAGATGCAGGTGTAGCAGCCCTCGTCCCTGTGGCTGACGCGCTTGATGATCACATTGCTGGTGTCACGTGCTTCACTCCCTAGCTCTACATGCTGCTGTCCACTCACACTGGCTGGCTGTCCAGGCACGTAGGAGATAAGTGTTTGGTTCTGCATGTCCAGCCAGCGCACCTGCTTGATGGATTCCCCTTTAGCCCTCACCAGCGAGCAGGTCAGGGTGAAGGGGCGCTCCACAACAGCCTCCTGACGCGCTGGGGCCACAACCCTGCCTGACACACACCATTAATGACCAACATATACAAACGACCAGGGGATTAAAATGATAGTCTGGTGAAACTCTAAAGTAGACTCCAATTGTATTTGATCAGACATGTTTGTGTTCAAAGTTTGCTTCTTTAGTTTTGCATTGGTGGCTAATGTAGCTAACTAGTAATGGAAGCTTATACCCACCAATTAGCACTGTGTAAACTACATGACTAAATCGCCACACTTACCTCAAATCATATTGAAGTATTGTCAGTGGGTGCATAGGCAAAAGGAGTAGTAGTACCCATGTTTGATTCATGGCTTTTGTAATCATACTGTACTTTTGTTCATTTTTCAGTATGTCATTCAGTGTCAGAAACCACATAAACAAGTCTATTTGAGATTATTTTACAACTTGACATGGTTTGAATAAAGTGTGTGATGATTTAGGCATGTAGTTTAGTGCATGATGCTAATTATTGTACATAAGCTTCTGTTACTTAGCTACATTAGTGCCAGTGCAAAACCTAATAAACACACTTCAGACACCAAACATGTTGGGTTCATTTGGGGTAAGGGAATGTTTTTATTTTTGGAGGAAACCTTTAAGACTATTATTTCTCCAACATTATTCAAAAACATACCATATACCATTCTGGACACAATGACCAGGGAGACAAACAGCTGCAAGCATTTTGGCAGACTTGCATCCAACATCATAGCCTGGCAAACACAGATTAACATACTTAACAGTGCGGGAAACATAGCAAGAATGTTTTAGCACATATTTGCAGAAGCTTTCACATTACCCAATCTGTATGCTGATAAATTTAGCGTTCTCTCCCTGGCTGAGTAGTAAATTACTTTGCAAGCATATTTCAGTTGTCACTGTCACATCTAAAAATAGCTACAAAAACATAAAACAAAAATGTGGTTTGAATTATCAAATCCTAATAAAAAAAAAAAAAAAATGAAAACAAACAGACACTGATAGTGCATTTAGACTGTATGAAGATAACTTTAGCAATATATTTTGTCACAGCTCAAGCATTTGCCAAATAACCTTCAGGAAGATTAAGAACCAGACTTGGTTTTTACTAACACATCTTAAATTAGGATGATCAGATTCAGTCGCTCAATGTTCTGCGCTATTCTTTTTATAACACAGTCATTTAAAAGTATTGGCAACTATCAGAAATTGTTGGAATTACTGGGGAAAATCCCTTGGCGTTTTACACTAAGAGGAAAATCTAACCTCTAACCCCCATGTGTCAAACACAAGGCCCACGGGCCAAGTCAGGCCCGTGACACAGTCCTATTCGGCCTGCAAAATTATTTTCATTTTCTATATTATTAGCCCATTTCACCCTGAGATGCACTACAGTCCCCAGCATGCACTGCAACATAGTGTGCATTCTGACCTCCTTCCCCCAACAACAATCTAAGGGCCAGTGGTTACACAAAAAGAAAAGATGCCTGCTGTCTAGTTCAAGGAAATAGGCAGTTTAAAAAAAGAATGAGTAAGACTTCAATACCTATTTTGCTGTTGCAGTTTTGGCATATTTTAAATAAATGATAGCCTGTTTGAGTCACTGAGTCATGGCAAAATGTTAAGTAAAAATGAAATAAAAACACAGCTGACCTACAGATTTGCTGAGATGTTTTAATGTGGCCCTTTTAGTGGTTGAGTTTGACACCCCTGCTCTAATCTGAGATGCCAAGTGAAGTTCTTAATTAACGTTCATATGAATTCCTGTATTTTAAATAATGTAGCATCCAAAATTCCTCATAAAATTTCACACAATCAGTTAAAAATGTTACATTCATTAATTATTTCATTACCAACAGACATTTGTAGGCCTAGACAGCCCAACCCTTATTTGATGACCTAACACTTCTATATAAAATAGTATTTCTAATTAAGAGTGTTCGCTGAAGTGCTAGATTAAGCAGTACAGAAAGTATTTATGAACTGTAAATTATGCTTTAAAATTTAATATGACATAGACCTGCATCTTGTCACTATCGGAAACAAAACCTCGTATCCCAATAATTAACTTTACAGAAGAAGGCAAACAAAAACATTCTTAAATTTGAATGTAAGCTGATGTGATATGTTTTAATTCTTTGTCATATTGAACCGTATAGATTATGATGAAATTTTGACAGTGTAAACACCGGCTGTTATTTTTTGAAATTATGTATAAAAAATGACAAAGTTGAGGTAGTAGGCTTTCTTACAACAGTGAACAAAACTGCTGTTTATCATCTAAAATGATATACAGTAGCCCATCCAGCTAAGGACTCAGTCAAAGTCAGCACTTACATTCCAGCCTGATGACCTCCAATGAGAACTTCAGTGTAACTTCATTATGCTAAGAGTCGGTCATCTGTGGAGAGACAAGCAGAAGGTCAAAAGATAAACAGATATGAATGACTAGATGCAAATAAACAACTGTTTTCTTGCATGGCACAGTGCAGAAAATTGATATCTGCTTCAACACTCAAGCCTTTATGCTCACTCGGGTTTGACCCTAATGACCAAGACCTGACCAGGTCCAGACTTCTGGGATTTGAAAAGTTAAAGGGCGTAGGAAGTTGTTTTACTTAAGGAAATCTGATCTTTGATTAGAACATAGAAGCTTGGTAGATATGGGCCCAGCTTCCGTTCTATTCAGCAGGAAAATGATTTAATCTCACCAGCTGCCTTTTCAAAAGTCTTGGAACAGTGTGTTTAAAGTAAATGCCACCTGGTTTGACATTTCCAGATCCAATGTCCAGATCCTTTTTGGTACACTGTATGTATGAGGAATCTACTTTTACTTGGTTATCTTGTAATCTTTATTATTTAGTTACTTTTTGTCTTAATATTATTAAGTTTGGTTGACTGCATCTGTGCTGCTCTGTGATTGGTCACACCTCTCTCTTTTGAGATTTTATATTTTATTTGGACCAAAAGGATCCTAAAAAGAGAAGAACAGTCTGATTATAGTTCCCATGCTGGGAGATGCTGGACGTACTAAGACGTACCACTGCAGTTCTACAAGTTACTTATTGTAGACGTTACTATTGCACATATATTCTAGCTGTTTTTCACATCCAGACTTGTGAGATTTTAAAGGATAAAGTTGGTGGGAAATGGTTTTACTTGCATAAAGTTTAATAAGAAAGTTTTACTACGAGAATTGTAAAGCGATAATAAATCTGTGTCAGGTCTCACAACCAGTGAAAAAGTGTTGAATGTTTCACATGAATAAAACATATTACATCTACACAGTTCTTATCAAAAGAACACTGAAAGACATATTTTATTCATTTACGCCCACTGACGAGTCAAAGCAGTACTTGTTTGAGTGCAGCGGAGATGCATACATTTGTTGTTTTGCTCAAATTAAATGGCTAAATCAGAAAATGTTACTATTTCAACCTTCCTTCCTGTATATCTGTATGTTTTGTTTGTTTGTTTACTTGTTATTAAGAATTAGCAGCAAACAGAATTTATTACCACCAGAACAGAAGCTGGGCTCTTATTTTTTAAGCATCTCAGAACAAGAACACTGATCTGTGTTGTGTAAAAAACATAAGCTGATCCCAGATCACCATTCTTATTCTGAGAAATTGAATAAATATGGTCCTGAAAACAGTGTAGACAGTAGATTACAACTAAACGACCAGATTATAGCTAAATTAAACCCACTCAAACTGGCTGATTGTTAACGGCCTTGTTTGGAATTCAATCTGAGTTCACGAATATTGAACCACCAAAACAAATCTGAAGGTAAAACATGAGCGGAGACAGAAGCAGGAAGCTGAAAATGAGCACATAATGATAGATCACAGTGATAGAAAACCTCTCAGATGTTCTTCAGTTAAATATCCTGTTCCTACCTTCACTGTTTCTGTAGAGCTGTGGGGAAAATCTGCTCTCTCTGCTCTCCCTGATCCTCCACTACACTGCACTGTTCTGTTCCACACTGCACTGTTCTACTCTACTCCGCCCCACTCTGACTCTCTTTCTCCCTCTCTCTCTCTCTCTCTCTCTCTCTCTCTCTCTCTCTCTCTCTCTCGCACACTGCTGGTCAGTCTGGCAGCCAAAGAAGAGAGCAGTTGTGGATTCTAGTAAATAGCCCAGTTAACATTTACTCAAGTAACATAAATAAATAAATTTGCTCTTTACTGCATATTTTCAAATAATAGTCTTGCTTCTACTGAATTATACAGTAGCTCCAAAAAGTATTTGGACACTTTAACCATTTAACCATTGGTAAGGCCCCCAAAAACATCTGGATGCTGCAACTTTTGGTAAAGCCCTAAAATTTTGTTGGACACTTTGACAATTTAACCTTTGGTAGAGCCCCATAAGTATATGAACACCTTAACCATTGGTAAGGCCCCCAAAAACATCTGGGTACTGCAACCTTTGATGACCTCTGATGAGAACTTCAGAATAACTTCATTACACTCTGTCATCTGTGAAGAGACGAGCAGTGTTGTCAGCATATCAAAAGGTAATCAGATATGAATCAGTAGATCCAAATAAACAACGGTTTTGTGTTTTCATAAGTTTATTTACACAACACAGAGCAGAAAATTGACAGCTGCTTCAACACTGAAGTCTCTATACTCACTGAAGTTTGACCCTAATGACCAGGACATGCCCAGGTCCAGACTTCTGAGATTTGAAAGGTTAAAGGTTGTAAGAAATTGTTTTATTTGTGGAAAACTGATCTTAGATCAGATCAGAGAAGCTTGATAGATATGGGCCCGGGTTTTGCACTGTTCAGCAGGAAAATGATTGAATGTCACCAGCTGTATCAGGACAATTTAACCATTTAACCAAGTCCCCCAAAACCATCTGGATGCTGCAACCTTTGGTAAAGCCCTAAAATTATTTGGACACTAACCATTTAACCACTGGTAAAGCCCCATAAGTATATGGGCACTTTAACCATTGGTAAGGCCCCTAAAAACATCCGGATACTGCAACCTTTAGTGAAGCCCTAAAACATATTTGGACACTTTAACCATTTAACCATTGGGAAAGGCCCATAGGTATCTGGACACTTTTACCATTTAACCATTGGTAAGGACCCCCAAAACATCAGGAGACTGCAACCTTTGGTAAACCCCTTAAATTATTTGGACACTTTAGCCATTTAACCATTGGTAGAGCCCATAAGTATCTGGACACTAACCATTTAACCCTTGGTTAAGCCCTAAAATTGATTTGGACACTTTAACTATTTAATCATGCAAAAATTACGTCGATTAAAGAGAAAAACACTTTCAGCTCAGCATCAAACTGGTAGCAGACTCTTAGAATTCAACCATACTACATTAAGGGTCAGTGGCGTGCACAGGCTTTGGCGAGTGCAGGAGCTGAGATGTTTCTAATGGACACTTCTGGAAGAGTACATTTTAGATTTTCTTCAGTTTTTTTAAAACACAATCATAGACAAAGTTACTGCAATATTGTGTTGTTCTGCAGGCAAAGCTTCATTTTAATTATAGATCTGATTTTAATTATGAAAAACAGTAATGTATATATAGGTGATTTCTTCTTGTTGCAGGAACCTAATTCTAATAAATGTCCTACAAAATAATTAGTGATAATGTAATATTGTTCAAACTCATTATTCAGCTACTATTTTACTGTTTTATCCTTTGTGCGACTCCAAAAGCAGACCTGTGCATAAACACTGTGTGATGTTAGCGGTTAATTCGAGTGTGGAATATCTGATTTTCGCCCTGATTTTCTAGTTGAAGTGAAATGTGCACTAAACCCCCGCTAACTCTGCAACAAATCTCTTTGTGCACCCACTTTGTGCTCATGAAGTGTGAACAGCTCAATGGTGCAGTTTTCTCAGTCTGTGAGCTGCAGCAGACACCCTAATACTGTCAGGATGCCTGAAATTCTCTTTGATGAATCTTATGGTGTGAGAACCTCTACAACAAGTAGTAGCAGCAGTAATGAGTAAGAGCCAGTGAGAGTGTGAGAAAACAGCGGTGTGTGAGCAATAATCCAGCTTTCTCCTTTGTGCTGCGATGGCCACTTGCATTCTGTAAGGACTCAGGAAACAGTAGGGGAGAGCAGGGCACAACCTAAGACATTTTATTTTTTGCTGAATAATTAAAAAAAATATTTAAGTTGGAATAATCAGATTTTTATACAAGCAACATAAATGTACAAAAGAACACTTGAACTTTGTTTCTAGCACCTTCCATTCAAATACAATTCCACCAAAAATGACAGAGTGCAATGTGACCATTTTTCCCATGGGTGGAGTTAATTGTAACAGACAGGTGAGTTGTAACACTTCTAGAAAAGTCTGAATAAATTGAATGAAAAAGTTATTTCAATATAATTATGTTGTAAGACAAATATATTTTCCAACCATACTACATGATACTTTATCTATCTATGAGAAAAACACACAGATTAACTGATTCTTTCCACAAATCATCAGATTCCTCAACTCCCACAGACTGAATTGACAGACACCCACACGGACCCACACACATGCATATATGCATAACAATATGAGACTAACTCACTCCCCACTTCTTGTAGTTCCAAATTATGTCTGGAACACTGCATTCAAATATAATTACTGCATTTCACTGAAATGCTTCATTTGATATGACTGTAGATCTGAATACTTGCATTTTTGCACATTACTTCACTTTAACATTGTTAGCTGCGAGAATTACTGTATCAACCAAATACTGTATACCATTGCTGTTCTGTTGCTACCTCAGTGACTGCTATGCTCCTTCATGCTAGTCTATCTGCTAAGCTGCTAATATGTCATAGTATGTTACATCCTCCTTTGCTGTGTACTTGTATGTAGCTGAAATGACAATAAAGCCTGACTTGACAGATACACACACATTAAATTATATTAATTATTCATTATTGAAGTGATCCTTTTAGTCCCACAACGGGGAAATTTCACCTCCGCCTTTGATCCATCTGTGCAGTGAAACACCACATACACACTAGTGAGCACACACACACACACTAGGGGGCAGTGAGCACACTTGCCCGGAGTGGTGGGCAGTTCTGAATAACTACAGCTTTACTAACCGTTACTGTATTGATACTGTAAGACAAAACACTAACAGATCTGAAAGATCTTAACAGAGTAGAAAAAAAATTCTATTTTCATTTGTTTTCTATCTTTTATTTTATAACATTTGTGTAAACATATGAAACAAAAAGACAAAATTTACTTTATTTGTTTTTGTTTACTAAGGGTGGCTTAGTTGTAACGCTGTGTAACAGCTAACCCCGCAGTACGGAGGCTGCACTTAAGTCCAGCTAGCACTTGTTTTGACAAGCTTAAAAATGGTGCTACATTGTAGGAAACAAGATGGTGATTGAAGTAATATAAGGTTAGACTTTCAGACTTACACAAACAGCTCAGTAACCGAAAAAACTTATGTTGAAAAAAATTACTTACATGCCCTGAAAACACTCTTTGGCACAGATCTCTTTAAACACTGTGGCTAGGAAATGTGGTAATGTGGCCAGAAGCTCTGCTGCTTGACCTTCTTTAACAACATACAAGTCTGTGTTAAATTGTGCCCCGTGTTAGGTTGTTCCCTGCATGCCTCTACTTTACAGTCTTGCGCATTGTGAAAAGCTAAGTTACTTCATATTTTGAAGTCAGACAGATCTGCTGGTGCTGTCATATGACATAAACTAAGAGGATCAGGCAAAAAAGTTTGGGCATGAGAAACAGCAGCACTGTGAGATCAAGCTGGTGTTTTACATTGAAACCTCTTCTGTCAGACACAGTGAAACCGTGCCTGTCCTCCAGTGGTTTTACACAGACTTTGAACATGTTAAGCATTTAGAGCCTATCAAAAAGGACAATATTAATTTTGAGACAAAAAGGGGAGGGGCTTGAGTGTAAGAAAACCCCTCCCACCCCAGTGCTAAGTATACTGTAAAGCACAGAGGTAGAAACGTCAAAGTCAGGGTTTTTTGTTTCTTACAGTGATGTTGGTGTTTGTTTATGGGATCATGAGCTTACAAAGGCTTTTTGGATGGAAACCTGTAGACATTTGCAAAGAAACTGCTCAAAAACAGAAAATGAGCCACTGTCAGATTAGCAGACACTCATGAACATTTAAGAGGTTTTAAATTACTTCTGTGATCGTTCATTATGTGATCATCTCAGTCTTATCTTCCTGTTTCTGTCTACATTCATGCTTTATCTCTTGTTTCAGATCTGTGTTGGTGTGACTAGATTCTTATCTAGGCTCTTAAACATCAGTCAGTCAGTGTGAGTAAATTTATCCAGGTGATTTAATCTAGTTTTAATGCAATCATGTGGTTGTAATCTACTTTCTACATTTTTTAGGTTTAGGACAACATTTACCACGTTTCTGAGAGTAAGATCATTGATCTGGGATCATTTTATGCCTCTTACATAGCAAACAGCACGAGGACTGATCTTGGTTCAGATTAGAGATGCTTGATACAAATGCACCCTGGTTCTTCTCACCAGCCTTTTGGGAGGTCTTGGAATGGTGTGTTTAAAGTAACTGCAACTTGGTTTGACATTTTATTTACTAACACAATGACTTTATAGAAGTAATTTGTAAGATATTTAGTTTAACACATTACAAAATTAATTAATACAATCAATAGAATGTGAAGAAATAACAGTTTTGACATTCTATCAAAGATGTCTATGTATCATATTGCAGAGATATCTAGCATGCTAACCATTTAGCCCAGGCTCATCCTGTCTCGTAATACCACTTTGTCCCTCAAGAGGCAGAAGTGAGTCACTGTATTATCGAGTCTGCCATCAGTCCAGCATGAGAGGATGAAGAAGTAGCACTGCCCCCTCCTGGCAAGAAACCAAATTCTTCAGCAAAGGAAAATAGTGACATAAATAGAAGCAAAACAAGTGTTAACATTGGCATGGCTGTCCACTGCTGGAGCTCTTGGTGAGTAAAGAGATGAAGTTTGATGCTGAAATTGCAACGTTTCTTTTAGACTAGCAAGTAAACAGGGAGAAGAGTGACTATGTGGAGTATGAATTCAACAGGTTGAGTCATCTTACATATTACTCCTTTAAAACATCTGTAAGTGTGGTACAAATGACCAAAACCTTTTAGGCCACTGTATAAATAAGGAATCTACTTTTACGTTTTACCCCTATTTAGTAACTAATTTTTGTTGTGCTCTCAATGTTTTTTTATTAATTGAGATGCAATTATTATTATTATTATTATTATTATTATTATTATTATTTTTATTATTATTATTATTATTATTATTATTATTATTATTATTATTATACTCAAGTTGTTTTTTTTCAGAAAATTAACTTTTACTTTAGCTTGACACATTATTTCATTGACTTAACAATACTTTTGAGTATGGGTCATTTTATGAACTGAGTGTTTGAATGACAGAGTTGTAATTCCCAAAACATCTCAGATATGGAGGCCTGGTCCAGAATCAGATGCAGTTAGTCTATATTCCTCACAAAGTTTTTGCCACCCTTGCTAAATATAAACAAAAAAATTTTGTTTTTTTTTTATTGGGTTAGTTTTAAAATATGACTTCATCAGCTCAGATTCCATGGACCTGCTGGTGATTCCACACTAGCATTCCTCACTCCTAAATTTAAGATTAACTGTTACAACCTCTAGGTGTATGGAGAGGTCATCCTTGTTTTAATGCATGACTCCAACTCCAACCGCTAGACAAATACATCAAAACACCCATATAAGATGGTAAAATGTTATTTATTTCTTTCAGTTTACGCTACTTGTGTTAGACATCTTTTACATGGAATATAGCATGATATAGCAGAAAAGGCTTCTATGTTAGCCATCTGTTTAAATGCAGTATATTGAAATATAATAAAAGAAGATTATGGCTTCAGGGAAGCACTAACACCCAGACAAGCTATAAATAAAACAAACTAAATTAACATCAAAAGAAATGGCATAGCATCTGAGTAGGCAGGGTATGTGCTGGCATATCAAAAACACAGGCCTCTCATCTCTATGATTTGGGTTATCAATACATAATTGTTTTTTCTTCTTAGAAGATTAAGCATCATATTTTCTTAAGGTCATACGCACAACAGCCAAGTCAATCCATGGCGCAGTTCTTGCATTGTTGAATCAGACATTTTATTTGTAACACTAAAATGAATTTAATTTATTATAAACATAACTAATTTGGATGTTATTAGGTCAACATGCCAGCTTTGCTCTTTTCATCTGATGTGTAGTGTTGTTACACCACTGAAGAAAATACAATTAACTATCCCAGTCTACCTGCATCAGAACAGGATAAAATAAGTTATAAACCAAAACAGGACACTCACCCCCTACTTATGTGACACGGGATTTACAGATGTGTCCTTAAACTAAGTAACATCAAGGGCAAATTAGGTTACACACAGAGTGTGTAAGTATGTTTGGTCTGGCAGGCAGGCTGGTGACACAGATATGACCAAATCAGCCAAACTTTCTTAAACAAAATGCTGTTCTCTCAGCCTTTATGTAGTTGGAGCGCCCCCTGCTGCATCCAGTCACAGCTCTCCAGACTCAGATCCTCTTACAAAGACAGATGAGTCAAAACAGCAACAAGAAAGAAAACACAACCACACCTACACAACCTGAAGGTGGTAACATAACTCAACCAGTTAGCATTGTTTTCCATGTAATCACTTAACGTTTGGATATAAAAAGTTTAAGAGGCTGAGTAATTTAACTTCACAGAGGAGTTAGATTTTTCTCATACAGTTGTATGAGAAAGTTTTGGCACCCCTGGTCAAATTATATGTTTTGTTGATTTTCTAAGAGAAAATATGTGAACATAACCTCTACAGAGGACAGACTTCAGCTCATTTTAATATCCCTGATTACAATATATTTTTTCCAATATGTTTAACTTTACATATAAATAGAAATTGTAAATTGAAGTTACTATCACTTAAAAAGTCATCAAAAAGTAATAAGACTGGGGTGCCAATCATTCTGAGATCACATATTCTACAATCATACCCTAATTAATATTCATGAGGTAAAATTACATAACACATTAGGATACATCATGACTGTGCAGTATACCAAATTTACACATCTAAATTCATGTAATTATTTGTTTTGCTTTAAAAAAGATGCCAAAAAGGGTTGTTTACGCAAAGCCATAGAAGAACCAGTTAAGTTTCTCTAAAAATTTAAAATGGATGTTATTTGGAGAACTATTTTTGTACATGGCATGAGAATATGAAAAAGCTTTTCACACTCACACATCTCATTTTCAGACATGGATCTTAAATGAATAAAATGGTGTTCTATGGCTTTGTTTCACTACCAGCTCAGGTTCACAGCACATTGTCTGGTGCAGTGTCCCAGTGTCATGAACAAACTGGCTGTAAAAAACATTCTTTATTGCTGATCCTTTTGATATTTAATTCAAAATGTTAACAAAAATGTAACCATTATTTATTGTTGCCACCACTTCATTTAATACTTTGTGCAGCCTTCCTTCGCAAAGACAACAGAGGCTTTTTTTGGCAACCCACCCAAACAACTTGTGGTTATGTAGGTGGTGTTTGAGATTTGGGAGACTTTCTGACCCCAAGACCTGACTAATTTCTGCAGTTCCCTGTCTGTGATCCTTATAGATGCTTTGTCCACTCAAACCAGCCTCCTCGCTGTGCCTGGGTACAGTATAAACATACGTCCTCTTTCCAGCAGATCTTAACATCTACAGTTGTTTTAAACTTCTTAATTAATGCCCTGATAGTGGAAATGGACATTTTCAACTGTTTAGCTGTTTTCTTGTAGACATTTCCTGACTTGTACAGCTCAAAAACCTTTTGTTGCACATCATTGCTATTTTTCTCATAGTGGTGGATGACTGAGGGAATTTGGTCTGTGTTTCATCTCATATATATTCCCCAGTGAAACAGGAAGTTGTGACCAACCATTTAAGTGTTCTTAATAACTTAAAAACATAAATTATAAATGGAAATATATGTCAGTTACATTTCACATAAGAATTTCTAGGGGTGTGAACAATTGTGGCAAACATACATTAAGAAAAAATATTTATTTCATGACAAGATTTAGTTTTTTCTTTCAATCATCCAATTATACCAGAAATAAAGGTTAGATTTTTGCTAATATTTTGAATGAAAGATTAAAAGTAATTGCTCATGAATGTTTATTCATTTCACCAGCTGTATTTTGGATGGAATATGTCTGAAATCTGTAACTTTTACATGAGACTAGGCTGTAGTTGTGCTGCTCTGCTGTGGCGCTCAACATCACCATGGCGCTATAAGAGAAGAGAATCAGACAAAGGCAGCGACGCTGTTCAACCTCAGGCTTCCCCAGAAGTGGACGCTCTGCAACAGTAAGTTTATTCTTTAAAGGAAAATAGAACATTTATTTATTGAATTATTTATTTATTTCTTAAACCCAGTGCACTACATTTTTGCACATTACATTGGGTTGTGCTGCAGCTGAGTTTGTTCTATTATTATTTTTTTAATCGCCATTCAAGTACTACAGTTTGTTTTAAGAGGTGAAAATGTACATGGTGAACCATATAAAGTACATGTATGTGATCAACAACTAAAATAATTGAAAGCCAATTGCATTCCAGTTACACTGCCTTGCCATTCACAATGCTGAATACAGTATCATATAACTTTCAAAAGTTTTCGTTTGGGTTACATGTTTTATCTAGAATATCCAAAAGTGTTCTTTCAAATCAATGCTAGCTTAAATAGTTTAAGGAAGTCACATAGACATGTATCATTTGTGCCGTGGACCTCAGCGTGCCTTCTTTAAACTTCAGAGCAGATCTGTTTGGATTTTATTTAAAAGTAAGCAAACGGTAGGGCAGTAAAATTTACCTGAGCACAGGGTCAAAGACACCATGTGCTTTTCAACTCTTTGACTTTCAAAAAATATCTTGCGTGTGTAGTTCCCAGCATCTTCTTGCTGGACATCTCTGATGTAGATTGATCCGTTCTTCATGAATTCAAGTCTACTCCTCTGAGCAAATTTCTCAATATTACTATTGTGTGGGTTAATAATAGCCAAATCTCTTTTGTGTCTCCATTCGTCTGAGGTGATTTTGGATCCATGTGCTCCATCCGGCAGATCAAAGTTAAACGTCTCTCCCTCCGGCAAGGAAATATGGGTAACTGCCATACCTTTAAGGAGAGAGTCAAGGGTGGATTAATGAGTATCAAGTATTTTTCATGTAGTCATACACAATGCTAATTTATTAGAAATCCTTTCCTTGTTGGTGTACAGCTTGTCTGTTATCTATCTTCTAGCCCTTCTTCAGTGGTCAGTTACTAACCACAGAGTCCTTTGTGGCTGTATTTTTTGGGTGTTGCACCACTCTTAATCTAGCAGTGACACTGACATTTGTAAAAACTTCAGCAACACCAGTGTGCAGTCCTTGGGAGGCCCCAGATCTTATTTGTCCTCTAATCCAATTTTTAATACACCTGTACCACATTGTCAGTATTCTTAATTTTTAATAGGTCCATATGTTAAAATTGTACTTATGATGCTTCTGTGGTTTTATGTTAAAAAACAAAAAAGGAATTCATTTTTCCAAAACCATTTTCTAGTCTCTCCTAGAATTAAACAGGCTGTTTTTGTTACTGTGCCTTTAAGACTGATATATGTAAATGGATTCTCTTCTAATTGGCTGCCCTGTACTGTTCCTCATCCAAAAAGCAGTTGAAAACGCTCCTCATAACTTCAAAGAGAATGGGCGGGGCTAAACTGCTGTAGGCTAAGTAAGTATGTGTAATATGTATATGTAAATGTATTAATTTTGATGACATCACAAAACCTATGAATTTAGTGTGGACTGGTGAGTGAATGCTATGTACTGAAATATTAAATGTTGTTTCTCTACTGTACTACATCAAGAGCTTCTGCACTACTGGTTCAGTGTCACTGTTTTGTTGAAGATGGTCCACCACCCAAACAATATCTGGCCAGCAGTGGTCTTGACCAATGATGAGTGGAAAAGGAGGGCTGATATACAGTGCATGTAAGTAAATGGGCCACACTCTGTAATTGTACAGCTATACAATCACAGACTGTGTCTCTTCAACAGCATCAGCAAAGCAGTGACAGCATGGGTGTTTTTAGCCTAGCTCATAGCTTGTTTGGGCTGTTCCAGCCTTGTCTTATCTTTATTATACCTGGTATTGAGTGTCATTTTATTGAACCGAGCTACTTCTCTGATCAGTCTAATCCATATAAACTTTTTATTCCTTTGGTTTTGCTTTAAAAGCCTCTGAGCCTTTTACTACTATGCCACCACTCAGCTCTCCAGCTGGATGCAAGAGCTGAGTGAGAAGACACCAGAACTGAAAGGAACAATCATAGTTCATAGTTGTCAACAAAATGAATTAGTTCATCCAAACACAGGAGAAATGCTATGCAAAAAGGCAATTTCAGTGGTTTTATAAATAAAAATAATCTTATCTTATCTTAGCCTTTTCTGCCACCTCCCCACTACCAGGCTTTATAACTCAACAATGGCATAAACTCTATAAAAGATCCTGTAAGTAAAAAAAAAAGGCCTAGGTATAATCCATCTAAACATCAGAAGCTTACCCAAAAGCACAAAATGGATCAACTGAAAGCCCTGATCACACAGTCTGATCCAGACATTATTTTACATACAGAAACCTGGCTTAGACACTCCATAACTGATGCCAATGTGGCTTTAAATGACTTCATGCTCTATAGGATAGACAGAGATACGAGAGGTGGCGCAGTAACACTATATTACAGAGCAAATGTTTAGGTAGATATACTAACTGCAGTTTGTAAGGAAAAATGCTTTGAATTCCCATCTCTGAAGGTGTGTCTCCACTCTTAAACCAGATGGTTCTTCAAGGCTGTCACGCTTCCGGGTCCTCCTCCCCTGCCTAACATGCTCTAAGACTCCATTTCCCAGAATCCCAATCCTCATGGCATCATCCCTTCCACTAATCACAGACCTCTGCCTCGTTCTCAGTCACATGAATACTAATTCAACACACCTGTATCCGTTTGCCTTAGACCTTAAAAGGTTCCTGGTTTGTTCTCCTCTTTGTGAGGTATTGCCACACTACTGGTTACTGAGTGTTTATCTTCTATTTTCATGACCTGTGTACTGAACCCATTGCCTGTTTCTCGATTGTTTCTCTTTTGGATTTGCCCTTATTGCTCTGGTTGCCTGTGTTTTTGTATTTTCTGGTTTTTGACTTTTGCCTGTTTTTGGATACTGTTTTTGGATTTGCCCTGACTTGGTTCTCTCATTAAACCAACTTTTGTTTTTAAGATCCGTGAGCGTCTTTCTGTGCTTGTTCAGTGTTACAAAGGGTAAAGAAAATAGTTCTATATAGAACCATGAACACTCAAAGAACCCTTTGCATGATTAAAGTCAAGTCAAGTCAAGTCAAATTTATTTATATAGCGCCTTTTACAACAGATGTTGTCACAAAGCAGCTTTACAAAGAATCCGGGTCCACGCCCCCAGTGAGCAAGCCTTGGCGACAGTGGCAAGGAAAAACTCCCTCAAAAGGAGGAAGAAACCTTGAGAGGAACCAGACTCAAAAGGGGAACCCATCCTCCTCTGGTCGACACCGGATAAGAGGACAGACACAAAACAGTATAAGTGGATACAGTTTAACACCACTGTGCAGTGCACCGGCCGCATCTCAGGTCAGACCCTCTTAGGACAGGCAGCCGCTCAGCTCAGGGAAAGAGAGAGAGAGGGAGAGGGGGAGGGGGGATGAGAGGGACATAGTTAGAAAAACAAATTAACCAAAAGCTCGACTAAACAGGTATGTTTTTAGCCTAGACTTAAAGATTGAGGCTGTGTCTGAGTCCTGAACACAGACTGGTAGGTTATTCCAAAGCTGGGGGGCGTTGTATGAAAAGGCTCTTCCCCCTGACATAACTTTATTTATTCTGGGTACTAATAATGAGCCCACACCTTGTGATCTAAGTGGGCGTGTCGGTTGATAATAGGAAATAAGGTCACTGAGGTACTGAGGAGCAAGGCCATTCAAAGCTTTATACGTCAGTAGAAGAATCTTGTACTCAATGCGGAATTTAACTGGCAACCAATGTAAGGTACACAAAATTGGGCTAATGTGGTCGAATTTCCTGGTTTTGGTGAGAACTCTGGCTGCAGCGTTCTGGACTAACTGAAGCTTGTTAAGGTTAAGTAACTGACCAAAGGGTTTTTTTCATCATAAAAGAGTTCTTCAGATTGATGGAAAATGTGTATGAATGTACTGTAGACGGTTCTATAAAGAACCTTTTTGAAAAGGGTTCTTATAGCACCCAAAAGGGTTTTTCTATTGTTACAAGTTTGACATCATAACAATAGAAGAACCCTTTTTGCTTCTCAGCCAAATGCTGGGGGGCTTTATACCCCTCTAGCTGACACTTTGCATGTTGACTTTAGGCTCATGGCTATTCCATACTCCAGAGTGTCTCCATACTACTAAACACTTTTGTATGGAGATTATACAAGCTTTGTGGGCACAGCTGAACACCTGTGAACAGTGATGGGTGCACCTTTCAGTTGCAGTACATCTAATTCACCAGTACACAGTTTAGTGGAGATTTTATTTCTCTCACTGGAGAAAACACTGTGATGACTATACTTCTTGTATTCGTCATATGCCATATTTGCAGAAGTCATTAATATGTAATCTCTCTCCCACATATTCAAAAACAGTGTTAAAGTTAGCTTAACCACATCCTGTTAAAACATCTCTAACCCCTCTATTCTACTCTGTAAAAAGTGGCAGATCTACCTAAAAACATTATGTGGTAACAAGTAAATTAACTAGTTTTATTTGACCTAAACAACTACTTTGAATGATTGATTCTTTCAATCAATGTAGTTTTTTTATGTTGAATAAAACTAGTTCAATTGCTTGTTACTACATGAAGTCATTTTTTTTCAGTTTGAGCTAATTAAGATATGTTTATAAGCCTTTTCCTGTCTTTACCAAGGGTGGCAATAATTCTGAAGCTGACTGTATTGTTGGAACAGTCAGAGTAGTAGAGTAAAGCTTTTGTATTTGTACAGTGAGGATGATATGCCAATGTGTTAAACAAAAGTACTCCCAAATTTTGAGCACATGAGGCAGTTAAGGAAAAATTAAAAAGATCTATAATGAATTTCACTGTCACATATAGAAATGTGCTGGAATGCAATCATAAAATCACAATCATAAAAAAGGTTGGAAGAACTATTCTGATCACTGACTATATGTGTGTGTGTGTGTGTGTGTGTGTGTGTATATATATATATATATATATATATATATATATATATATATATATATATATATATATATATATATATATGTACATGTATGTACATATATATCGCTGCTGTCAGAACAAAACCCCTTATCTCCATTTTTGTTGTTTTTTTTTTTGGAAATAAATTATGGTTCTATTGACTTACATTCAGAGAAAAGTATGTTTTTTCCTTCTCCTGTAAAGTTATCATTTTGGAGATACAAGGTTTTGCAGTGATATATATATATATATATATATATATATATATATATATATATATATATATACACACTAGCCGTACAGACATTACCTCAACACAAAATGCGGTCAAAATTATCACTGATATATTTTCAATCAAACAACCTCCTTTGTTAATTCTTTCGAATATATATGTAATAGAAAATTATCCTATGATTACCTCTGATCGTGAGTAAAAGGGTGAGGAAGACGGTTATGTGTTCATGAATCTTCATCTCTGAGTGGATGCACCATTCAAACGTCCACACCACTCAGTCTCTTCACAGACACTGACACAGTTTCTAGACTATACGTCTTCTAGATACCACATCCTCTTCTCACACGTCTCCTCCACCACCTAAAATCTTTAAATGGTCAGTGTGGAGGCATAAAAAAGGAAAACCTCCTACTGCTGTGAAAATGTGGGGCAGTTGTTTTCTGCTGGTTCTTTATGTGTCTCAACACTGTTGGTGTGATAATATGCAGAAAATATTAAAAAGATATTGCTCTCATTCTGCCTCCAACTGGACAAACAGAGGCATTACACAGGAGAAAAATTTTAATACAGTACTGTGCTAAAGGCACCTAGACACATTATTTAACCTTTTGTCTTGGCAATATGCTTGTGTGTTTCTGCTTGCAAAGACACTATATGTCATTATAATAAATACAAATAAATATAAACACAGTATAAAGAAACAATTACATCTTTTTTCCTAAAAAAATTAGTTTACATTCTGTCAGCTAATCTGAATAAAAAGGTTAGTCCCAGATTTCTCCTGGATGCCCCCAGCCATCACACAAATGTATTAGATCCCACCAGCAACATATTTGATTTAATATAATGAAGGATTGATTAGCCCAACAGGTGTTGGATCGTATGTACAAATAATATGGGGCTGCCACAAGGACAGATTTGGAAATGTGTACAGTTTATTGTATTATTAATATTGTGTTTACTGTAATAGTGGTGCTTTTTGGGTAAACGATACATGGAAGTGTCTGTGTGTAACAACAGTTTATATCATTTGTATTATATATTTATATATGTAAGTACCTATATGTGATATGTGACATCAACATACATCTCTGAAGTGGTAGCACCTGACTCTTCCTCTCCAGTACGGTTCCCACCTGTTTCTCCCTGTCTAATTACAGAAGTGCTACATTAAATTTGTACAGTATGTTGTAAAGCGTACAGTGTCTATAGGTATATTGTCACTGCACTGGTCAAGATTATTTACAGTTCTTGTATGAAACACTGCTGCTATTTGGTTTCAGTCCTCACTCCTTGAGTAAGTTGAAGAGTTTTCAAGCATGAACTGAGTGTTTCAGGTGTTGCCACAGCATCTCAATGGGATTCAAATCAGGACAAGTTGAGTCTCAGCCGCTTCAGAACCTTAATTCTGTTTCCTTTGAGCCATTCAGGGGTGGACTTGCTTGTGTGCTTTAGTTCATCGTCCTGCTGCATAACCCAATTGCA